AATGCTCAAAATGGCAACGGATCAAGCCCTCCATCCACCCTTCCCTAAATAATCTCCCAATACAAGAAATGACTGCAGGGATTTACCTTGCCATAAAAACCACCAGGTCGCCAGTTCTGTCGCCCAGTGGTCAAGTTTCCCCGAAGCGAACAGTTTACTCAGGGACACATTCGTCTGCAGCACCTTCATAACTTCTCATTTTTAGTAAGCCATGGCCAGAAGACACGGAATGGGTTCAGCAAGAAATTTTCACATCCATGCTTTCCTTTTATCGGTGAGTCAATGATATATGTACAACTACTTTAAGTTTCCATACAACAGCAAACACTATTAAACACTTTCTAAACTTTTTTTTTAAAGTATAATTACATTTTGTTTAAATTGTTTTGTGCTAATTAAGTAAATCTGGCATACGTATTTGAAAACATTGTGAGTCCCCTTTCTTCTGTAGAGATGGGTAAGAATATATTTTAAACTGTAGAGATTCATTTAAAACATTGAAATGATTGAGTGACTGCAGATCACAATCAATGTCGCTTTTACTTTTACAAAACAAGACGGAAGGATAACATGTTAAATTCAGTCAAACGTGTTTCAAAATCAGTTACAACTTTACGGTGACAAAAAAAAATTCAATCGAAAATTATAAACAAAAATAATGGGTAAACAATTTGATAATTACTTTATAACTTAATATTTTTTGAAGTTGAACGGCTCCACTGATGATCAATTTGGGACAGCATTCATGCTGCTAATTATAACGTAACTTTACGGTCTCCTCTCTTTGTTTAAAAAGTGTGACAATTATAACTTATGCTTAATGAGAGCTGATTCCTTCCAAGAACTTTAATCAAACAGGTTTTTTGCATAAGATGTGTGGTATGATATTCCAAATATCAAAGTGTAAAATTAAAAATTGGCATTTTGTTTAAGTAGGGGAAAGCGAGAAGTATAAGCGTCAGACCGATTGCGATACCAAAACTCCAGGCTACTCTTGAATTTCTTTCGAAATAGGTGCTTTGGTGTGTAGTTCTAGCTCAATACCAGACACAACCATCCGCCTACCCAGCATCGACTGGCTACCAGGGCTATGCGCAGCCATCAGCAGCTTACCGATTTTCCAATGGCTACCAGCCCTATTCTCAGTCCAGCTACCCCGCCTACGGACAACAGCCTGCCTACGGACAACAGCCTGCCTACGGACCCTATGGGTATAACGCGATGAGGCCTCTCGTGCAGTCGGATGTGAAAAATTGTACCGACACCGACTGCCGACAAGATGTAAGTCCGGTTCATCAATGAAAAAAAGAAGTGGTTATACATACACATGGATTTTTAAAACAGTTATTTCCCCTAACCACATGTCTGTTTCAGTTGATAGGGTCACAAGTCCTGTTAAAATTAGACTCGTGCTGCCACTGATTCAACTACTCTTGACTAAATATTGACCATCGTTTTGTCTAGCTGCCCCCCACTCCCGCACCTCCCCCCCCCCCGAAACGAGGGACCCCCCCCACTCCCCCTCCCCCCCCCCCAATGAAATAGCGTTGCTCAAAATGTACCGTTTCAGATGCTCCAGGATATTTCTATCGGAAACCTGGGGTCCACATGGCAATAGGGGTTTTTTAAATGGCAAACGAAGAATCCCGGGGAAAAAATAAAAAAAAAAATAATTAATAGAAAAGAAAGTAAATAAGAAAATAATTTTGATTTTAAAACTAAAAAATATACATATCAATAAATGACTTTTTAAAAAAATAATAGCAGGAAGAATTATTACAGCTTGTTGGAACGCTGAAGAGAACTATAAATGCTATAATATTACATAAGGTTTGCCGACCCCTGGCATCCAGGACAATAGAGTTGGTACATAACGGTTAATATGGTTTGTATTTTGCTTAAAACCAGATGTTCATTATCTCCCTTTTTCAGGAATGCTGTGTGCTTACCCCCCGTGCCTCCATCTGTGTGAAAATGATCTACTCTGATCCAACGGATCCATTAAGTAATGTTACATCAGACAACTCTTAGTTTTATATCATTTTTTTACACGGAGGCATATGTACTTCTTCCATGTTCATATGTTCCATATAGTGCATAAGTTTAAAAAATACAGGTTTTTTTTATATTCCATATAATGCATATGTTAAAAATAATACCGAGTTATGTATTATTAGAGTGGTCTTATATAGCGCGGTACCCCAGCCTGGGGCTGGGCTCACCGCGCTGCATATCAAAATATTAGCAAACATAATCATGGCATTGAAAAATTACATACATTAATTTAATTAAAACAAATCTGTATAAAAACAACAACAAAAAAGTTAAATATATATTCCCCCCGCCCACCCCAGGACTGTTTACATGTCAAGCCATGGGCATCCCAGCAGCATCTTTTATCGATCATAGAATGTTAATGCATATGTGAAAAATATGACCGTGTTGTATGTTCCATATAATGCATATCGTAGTTTTGTATATTTTTTTCAACTCTTATCATGCTCTAACATCTCGAAGTGTCCCCCTCTTATCATGCTCTAACATCTTGCAGTCTCCCCCTCTTATCGTGCTTTACCGTTGCAGCAGTCTCCCCCTCTTATCATACTCTACCATTGCAGCAGTCTCCCCCTCTATCATTTTCTAACATAGCAGTAGTCTCCCCTCTTATCATGCTCTAACATCTTGCAGTCTCCCCCTCTTATCAAGCTCTAACATCTCGCAGTCTCCCCCTCTTATCAAGCTCTAACATCTTGCAGTCTCCCTCTCTTATCATGCTTTACCATTGCAACAGTATCCCCCTCTTATCATACTCTACCATTGCAGCAGTCTCCCCCTCTTATCATGTTCTAAAAGTCCAGTAGTCTCCCCTCTTATCATGCTCTACCATTGCAGCATTCTCCCCCTCTTATCATACTCTACCATTGCAGCATTCCACTCTCTTATCATGCTCTAACATTGCAGCATTCCCCCTTCTTATCATGCTCTACCGTTGCAGGCCCAAAAGTTTGCTCTCGCCAGAAACTCTGCTCTTCAGATGCCGACTGTTTCAGCCCGACCGGCTGCTGTGTGTACAACAACTACGTCACTTCCGACGTGACCAGCCCCCCGCCACCAGACTACTACAAATACCCGCCCAGCTCTAAACCTGGTCAGATTGTGCGACCCCTGGTTGGTGTCTGTGCGGCAACGGTCCCTAATGACGGAGGTTTGTCTATTTACATTTTGGATTGCTTTGTTTTAAATTTGTTAAACTCCTATCATACATTTGAAATGTAAAACAATATGTAGGAGAAATCCTGAAGATGGACAAAATAAAACAGCAGACATTTAGATTGAAAGTACTCAACGCAACAAGACAGCAGACATTTAGACTGGTGGTCTTTAACGGCGAAAAAGGACAACATAAGTTAAATACGGAAAGACAAGAAAAACGCACCTTTTCTTAATTTGGAGTCGACCAGAAGTAATTCAAATCTAACGGTAAACAAGACATCGTTGCTGAGGAAGCATCAAATAAAGGATGACGATTATTGCTTGAACAAGAATGCAGCTCCCCATTTTTTTCCAATAACATACTATCATACTTGAGGTTTGCTTGATGAACACTTTGACCATCTTGGGCGGCAAAATTATTGACTGGACCATTGGTGGGGGGGGGGGGGGGGGGGGGGGGGAATTGGGGGCAGTCACTAGCTAATGAAAGCTTTAAATACGGTATTTAAATAAACACTGTAGTAGCCTTTAAAATCTTCTCGTCATTAAATTAAGGTTACATTTAATCATCTCTTGTCTATTTTCAGCCTGTGTTGCTTCAATAGATCCTCTGAATACCAAGTGTCCATGTACAACTGGATCGACCTGCTATATCACCGTGCCTGGTACAATAAATGGTAAGAAAATGTATCATTGGGCCATACTATTCAAATGCTCCTATCATAAGGCTAGTTTATTCATCTGTTTCTATTACTATTAATGTGCACAGCTTTTCCCACTGTTTTTATTCCCGTGCTAGTCTATTCCAATGTTTCTATCAATGTGCTAATGTATTCCACTATTTCTATGATTGTGAAAGTCTATTTCTCTGTTTCTGTGTGTAATTGTGCTAGTCTATTCCACTGTTTCTATCATTGTGCTAGTCTATTCCACTGTTTCTATTCCCGTGCTAGTCTATTCCACTGTTTCTATTCCCATGCTAGTCTACAACACTGTTTCTATGTTTTGTGCTTGTCTGTCTCTAAGATACATTTGTCAACCCAGTCACCGTGTCATTGTTTGCTTAAAGTGTACATGTCATATTATTTATAGATTTTAATGTGTACATTTTATTTGTTACAGGTATTTGTAAAAAGGATTAAGCATCTCAAGCACAAAAACCATTTGATTTAAATAAATATTAAATAATTATCTTACAACAAAGTATTGATGTTTTTTGTTTCAATATATTTATAAATGGCTTTAAAAACTAGAGAATTGTTTCCCTTGGAGGCGAGAAGGCGGTAGGCGGGTCCGTTCGCCAGACTATCTGGTGCCTTAGGAAACTGTGAGCTACTTGCACCCCATTTCCACCCACTACCCGTAAACTAACAAAAAAAGTACAATTTAAATACACATAACTTTAAATTGCGTCACAGCCCATGTCAGTAGGGCTTTGGCCTGCCTCACCACTTCCTTCCACTCAGACCTAACTGATGCTTTTCTTTTCTGTGTTGGGATTCCCAGCTGTTGTAGATCTCTTTTTTTCCCCACATCATGAAAAATTTGGATTATTTGTCACTGTGCATCAGGGTTGCCAGATGTTCATCAAAACTCTGAACTAAAATGAATGGTCTGTAAAAAACATCCTATACTATCTCTATGTTTAACTCAACTATTTTAGAGCATGCCAGGTTACAAGCCAAACATGTTGAGGCCAGTCTTTAATTCAGATATTATCAGCCTCGGTTCGAGCAGATCTTGTGTAAAAAAAAATCCAGAAAAAAAGAATGCCGATATTGTTATTTTAGGGTTAGGGTTAAATTTAATTTGTCGTCCTGGTGCACAAAACAATTTTAATGAGACAAAAATCAAACATATTCCGGCAGTTTAATATGCAGATATATATTTTTTCGGTTACATTTCCTTCAAAATGAAAGTAGGAGTGACAAAGTAGAAAAAAAATCTCTGATCATCTGTCAAAACCTGTTGGCAAACGATGACAATAAAGATAACAAGAATATCAACATACAAATCCTTCCTCACAATGCAAGCAACAACACTCAGATTGGGAAGAAAGTGAAGCATAATACTTCTTTGATGATGGCAATAATTTGATAGATAGATATATATAGATATATATATATACACTATCAATATATATATTTTCATATGAGTTATGAATAGCCTTTTGTAATAACAGATATGAAATGAAAAAAAACAACAACATTTTGTTGTTGTTTTTTCTTCATGTTTTCAACAGCAACAGTGACACAAGCTGAGCTCAACAATCTTTGTATGGAGAATTATTTTTACAGGAAATACTTGTACACCAGGACACCAGCCACACCAACAAGAACGGCAAGTCCGAAATAAATAGAAGAACGAAAATAGGGTTTGTATGGCCTCCACCGCTCGCTTTTCTGCTGACGTTCTTTCATTTTGCGCAACTTTTCCAGAGTTTGCCTTTTCCTCTCCTCCCTGATGTTGTGTCGTATTTCTGCTGCCCTGATAATGTTAAAAAGAATGAGTATTATGTAAGCAAGCAACATAACCTTTTGTTTGTAGAAAACAATGTGACTTTTTAAATTGGTAGAAATTTGGGAACAGGATTTTGTAAGTTACATGTGTAAATAACTAAATAAGTGTGTAACATAGGCTAACTTGGTCTAACAGCTTAACTTGCATCATGTGACTTAACTGGTCACAGTAACCTTGCCTATGTCACCTAGCCTAACTTGCAGTAGCATATTCTCAGCTTGAATAGGCAAAGCCTAAAAATCCTTTTAAATTTTTTTTTTTAATCTTTTGAAAAGCAGCCTGCACTAAGTGATGACTTGTTTTAGTAACGTAACCCCTTTCACAAAATCTGAAAATCTTTCTTCGAAGGAACGTACTCTAATTGTTCAAATTGGTTTCTACTGTTTATCCAATGAAAGAAAGAAGGAGAGAAATACTTTTGTTTTTACCTTTCAGTGTCGCTGTCTTCGCTGTCCCTCCCTACATCTTCATCTCTGTCAATCAGCTTATCAAACTCTTCATCATCTTCATTCTCTGCATCTGACCATCTTTTTGATGATTCCTCCGGGTCACCGTCCCAGCCTGAACAACCGGCTTGTCTTTGGAGGGGGCTCTTCTTGGGTGGGACAGGGGGAGGCAGGTTTTCTATATTCTGTAACAAATTCTCCACGCTGGGAATTTCAAACTTGGGAAGGAGACTGGTGGTGCGTTCAGGTGGGGGTGGGGGGCCTTCTAAATGGTTCTGTTAATGGATGAAAATATGATAGTTTCTAAACAATCCAAAAGGACATGTCATCAAAGCTTGGCAGGCAAAGTGACATAGCAAAATTACATCCTTTTACTGGCTTTCATTAATTACATTTCATGCACTTCCGTTAACATTCCTTTCCAACTTTACTTCTATCTTAGCTTTGACTCCTTCATACAACCAATGCAATCTCTAAATTACATAGTTCGCACTTTTTTAAGCTGTTTCATTTCTCTCTAATCATAAAATAAAAAATAAATGGATGCAAAATAATTGTATGAGAAACAGAAAAAAGATGTAAGAAATATATAGTCATTGATGTTTTAAAATGCTCAGAATAAGTGGATTTTATTTTTAACTCCTGCTTCTAAGTAACACATTCACATTTTTAGATACAATATCTTAAAGCAGAGCTCTACAATGGATATGCTATGAGAAGATGCTAGGTGTGGTGCTGCAAAATTCCTTCAAGAGGATGAAAAGCACGCAAAGAGGATATAAATTTGTTCAAACAAAGAGTAGAGGACAATGATTGGCTGAATAAAAAGCTGTCAAATGTTTTAAGTCAAATTGCACAGTACATCTGTGTCTAAAGCGGAGATTATATTTTTTCCCTGTCACTTTGGCCTTTGATCCCATGCTTTTCACGCCTGTACTGTGTCATACCTCGACCAGGTGTTTGTTGCCGGTTGTTTAAATTTTGTGCACTACAGATTTAACATTTCATCACCGATAAATGAAAACAAACACAGTGAGGTCTGAGGGTACCAAAGATCTTGCATCTCATTTGTTGACACAGTCAAACACATGTTTATCATGTCACATTTTATTTATTTTTTAAATATTGGTTTCTTTTATTTTTGAGTGGCTTATTTTGCTCTCAGCAAAAGAGCCTGAAAGGTTAATTAGTTATTTTTAAATTTAAACCTTTAAATTTTATTAATTGTGCATGCAATTTTTTAAATATTTATTTTTCCCATTATTCTTTTCTACTGATATTCAAGCTTAAAGAGTGAACAACTACTCTATGCTATATCACTTTGTAGAAAAGATCTAATTACTCATGTTCATTTCACTTATTTGAGAAATTTTTAAAAAACATTTAACATTTTGCTACGTGTTAACAACGGTCAATCCGTTGTAGTTTTCAAAACATGTTAATTAAATTATGGTGTGTCGCAGAAATCTGGGAATGGTCTAGGTCAGGGGTCTCAAACTTGTGTCCCGCGGGCCATTTGCAACCCGCAAGATGATATTTTCCTGCCCGATACCTGAAAAAAAGTTCAGTGTTAATGTGGCCCACGAGTTTTACCCATTCTCATATCTATAATGTGACACTCCGCGACGGTTTCAGTTGAATCTCACCGACTAGTCTTGTGATTTCTATTATGTATTATGTTTTTATAGATTTGGGCGTTGATTACAATGGTAAAAACCTTTTTTAAAATCGGACAAAAAGTTTTTATTTTATAGATTTTAGGAGACAAACATTTTCAAATTTCGAATTTGATTACAGGTTTGCAGACTTTAAAACACAGAGACACTTTTCAAATTTTTGATGACCCTTTCTCCCTCAATGAGGAAGATGCCCCCCTCCTTTTTATTTTTTTAGCGCTTCAAATAGAGCTGATTGCAGACCTGTTTACTCTTACGATTTTGGCATTACAGTGTACCATTTTTAGGTGCATACATTACATATACTCATATACTGTATGTTTATTTTCTTACTATTAAGATAATGTATTGAACGATTTTGTGTTGATATTGTACGATTTTAAGAGTTTTAGGGTAAACAGGTCTCTGATTGATCTTCAGTGCCATTCTGAAATCAAGGCTAAGTTCAGGGAGGTGAATGGAAAAACTGACAAGCTTGCCCTCCACCTTCCCTGAGATTTCCAGGTTGATCAAGCAGATCAAGTCAAAGTTCAGGGCCAACTTACTGATGAGCATCTTTAAGCTATATTGAGGGTCTCAGTTGCTTCATCACTCAAGCCAAATTTGCTCAGCTGTGTAAGATGAAGTGCTGCCAGATGTCTGGCAATAAGGAGTAGGAGGAAGTAAGTGAAACCTAGTTCTTGAGAACCCTTAATGTTTTTATTTGTTATTAATTAGCAGATTGTAACAGTTGTACTTAATTGAATTTGTCATAGGTGTTTTTGTGGAATACTTAATGCGGCCAAGTCTCACTCAGACTTAACAATATCTGCAGCCCCCGGATAATTTGAGTTTGAGACCCCTGGACTAGGTGTTCTGTGAGTGAAAAAAGGTTGCAGAGCTAATTTTAAGTATTTTTTTATGTTGGCTGCGGCTGGTCAATTTATTTGTTTGTAAGTTGTTTTTTTTGTTTTAGCAGCCTCCTTTTAAGAAAGTTTTTAATATGGGAGAGTCTCTTAACTCATTTCTTATGGCAGTGCTACTTCTGTACTTAATTTATATGCCCGAGGAAGGGAAGTAGCTACATTTTGCAATCGATTTACATTTGTAAAAAAAAATGTTCAAGCTGCTAAATATTTTTAAAAAGTTAATGAATTACGGTCAAATGCATTAAAAAATGAATAATGCTTAATAAACATATAACATCAGTGGCGAAAAACTTATGAATAATAACCAAAAAATCGATTTTTGGCACGTCCGACAAACACATGCTATATATAGACGCGCCATACTAAAGCCCACGAAGTTTAAAAGTGAAAAAAGATAGAAACTTCCGGTTTTTAAATTGAAATCATGCAAATCAGGGCATCGCTGGAAGTCTCAAGGAATGCGAGATTTCATTGCTATTGAACTAAAAACAAGAGAGGTGTTTCACTATGTGTGAGGATGTATTTGGACAGGGCGCCAGGATGCATTTGGACGCATCCGTCGAAACCCTTAAAGGACGCATTTAGTCTCAACCTACGGGAATGAGTTAACGTGGGTCATGGGAGGAGTTATTGTTGTGAGGGAAATTTGCCAGAAATTATTGACATAGCTATGATTTATGGCCACAAGCTGTAAGCCCATATATTGTCCTTTGTCTTAATGCCTTTGTTACCCAAGTACATGTTTTTCCAGGGAATCATTGAAAAAAGGCTTTAAATATCAGTCTAGGGGAGATACCTGAAGACTGTTGAGTCCACCACCGTTGAGGATGACATAAGCACCTTGAATGATGGCGAGATAAGAAAATCTTAGTTGATCATATGTTTGGATGAGACCCATGCGATAGGAGCGCATGTGCAGAAGCATCTCTTTAATGTTGATGCTGTTTAAACTGCCTGTATTCTCCACCTGAGAAAAAAGATAGATAGATTGTGAAAATTAATAGAAATAACAGCAAATATACATTTCTATAAGGTTGGAAAATAAATGACTCCTACGCCATGTTGAAAATTTTCAGTGAATAAGCTGGTATTTAATTGCTAGCGATCAAAGTTGAAATGAGTGAGAGGATATAACTTTGATATTTATTTTTAAAAATGTGATGTCAATGACATTTTTTCCATTATTATAAACTATGTCATTTTAATGGATACAGATTATTCATGAACATAATTGGATATAGTTCAACTGAAAGGCAATCTTTATTAAACTATTTTATTGTTCAAATTCACGCAGAAGAATCAAATTTTAATCTTTTTTTAATTACAACATTATCTGGTTGTTTAAAACAAAAAAATTGTGGGCCACTACAAACCAAAACAAGACAGGAATCAACTAAGCAGAATGTTCCAGAACGACCAATGCCAGCACTACAATGAACAATGGCTGGGCCAACATTTGTTTCTAGAGATCCTGTGTGCCGCACACAATGGAGGAAATGGAGAAAGGCTACAGGCGATGATGGTACCCCAAAGTCTGGCCATGTTGTATAATGAAAATGAAGAACTTCTCGTTTTTCTCCAGACTGTTGAAATTAATTGCAATATTTACGTTAAAAATAAAATAAAAAACAAGTTTTTAAACAAAATTTAGTGAAACATTTAACTTGAAGTTATTGTGGGTCTTGGAGTTCATCCTGTCTGAGCACTGAGTGGTGCAAGTATTGTGCTACTTATTGGGTCAACTATAGTGATCTTAGAGATACAACTATAAAGGCTACTTAGTGGTAAAACTGTAATCCTATGCTACTTAGTGGTGCAACTATAATGCTAGTTTGTGGTGCAGCTGTAGTGTTAGTTTGTGATGCAACTATGGTGCTGCTTAGTGGTGCAATTATAATGCTACTAAGTGGTGTAACTATAATGGTACCGGTATGCTACTATAATGTGAGTTAGAGGTGCAAGCGCAGTGCTACTTAGTGGTTCACCAACATCCCACTCAACAATCCAGTTCATAACATCCAACATTAAATTTCAAATTGTTAATAAAATATTGCATAATGCTAAATGTGTAGAATTGTTTTTCTCAAATTGTATGATAAATAAATGAACCATTTTATCAGTAATGTGTAAAATTGTTTTTTCTAATATAGTATGTTAAAAAAATGAACTATTTTATTAGTATCCATTATTTTTTTTTGTATTTCAGGATACAGTTATTTGGCAAAAAATGTATATTAAAGATATTTAGCTTTAATTTTGATGAAAGGGATATTTTTTCTTTATTTTCCAACAGATTTTATTAGTAAGAAATTTAGGGATAAATTTTGAACTAAAAGTTCCAATTGATTTTTTTTTAAATAATCAAAAATAAAACATTTAGTAACATTCACCTGCACTAACAGAAATTTCAGAGTGGAAAATAGGATTTTTAGAACTGCCCAACAAAAACCATAAAGATTTATTTATCTAGGTTCTGGTTACTTTGTGATACATTACAATCAACTTAAGACTCAAAGTAGAGATAATTCTGGATGTTTTACCGCATCAAAGATTTTACAAAAATAAAGGCTAGCAAGTGAGCATCCCATGGAGGGGAAAATCACACCACTTGACCAGGCAACGATGCAAGACAATGCTGGATTATTGCTGGATTATTCTTATATTCAATCACATTCCAATAATTATTTAGAATCCATTTCTTTGAAGCAAATCCATTTAATTTAAACATTAATTAATGTTAATTACCTCTGTCTTTTCGAGTTCCAATGTCCTGAGTGTAAAATGCTGATAATCTTGCTCTCCCGATAATGTAACCTTAATTCCACATTCGGGAAAATACATTTCTTCCTCATATCCATAATCTGAGCCAAGTGGCCAATACTGTGAACATTTCAGCTGTTCACCAGAAGATAATATATTGTGTTAGATATTTCTATTAATGGTTTTGAAAATTAAAATGTCTTGAAGTTTGCAAAACTATCGATGTAAAAAGGTGGTGAATAGAAAATAGCTTCAAGTTTCAAGGCAATAAGAAAAACTAAACAGGAAGTTTTAAGAAACTGTCAAAAAGACATGTTATCTTTAATGAAACCAAAAGCAAATGAAAAGTTTTAGGCATAAAAATATAATATAGCCAGGCAAAGTAGGCATCCACTGTGGGATATAATTAAACTTAAAAATGAAGTTAAATATAAATAGAATCAATAACCTTATAGAGAGTAGAAAAGAATAATGAAGCATGTGTATTTGACTTACAGTTTCCTTCTCAACCACTCTATTTAACATAACAATTGCTCGAGTCTCTTGCTCCCAAGTCATCTGCCAAAAGTCACACATTGTATGCTCAAGAGGGCCCTAAAAGAGACAAGTATTTTTGGTTAAGAAATTATATGACTATAGGCCAAATAAAAAAATAAAAAACAACCATACTGCTTAGAAAACTTAAATGACTGTAGAGCAGTACAAAAAATACAAAGGAAAAGAATATGGTACAAGTTTTTTTAATGTCATAGATGTGTTTTGAGTTCAATAACAAAAAATATATACAAAAATAACCAGTTTCATGTTTCAAATGCTGTACATTATACTTATAGTATTTACTTTTTACCATGTCTTGATTCTAAATATTCCAGCATAAAGAATATATATGATTGTACCAGGAATTCATATTCTATGAACTATATTTGCATATTTTAATTATTAGGCCACATGTAATATAATAATTAACATAATTAACTGACTTTTTGTATCTCCAATTCAAGATAAGCAGCAAATCTCAGATTTTGCTCAAATATAACTTTAGTTCACGGGTCTCTACATTCCAGGCACAAAATGAAAACATTGTAAAAGGGCATTTTCTTTAATTGAACTGTTAATAAACAAAGCAAGTAGTCAATAAGTTCTCAATCACCCAATTCCTTTCAAAAATGTGAGACACTTGTTTTGACTCTAAGCCCCCCCCCCCCACCCCAGAGTGATTTAAGAACAGTTGCTAACAACTAAGCGCATTTGTTTGAAACTGAAGTTATTGGGTTATTTTTATGTAAATGTTTGTATGTTAATAAACAAAGCAAGTAGTCAATAAGTTCTCAATCACCCCATTCCCTTCAAAAATGTGAGAACCTTGTTTTGACTCTAAGCCCCCCCCCCCCCACCCCAGAGTGATTTAAGAACAGTTGCTAACAACTAAGCGCATTTGTTTGAAACTGAAGTTATTGGGTTATTTTTATGTAAATGTTTGTGTGATGAGTTGTAACCAATTGATTTAAAGTAATTTCTTCTTGATATTGATATGGATGTGACCTTAGATAACATTGGTAAAGTCTGAATGAAAACTCAAGAAATCTACTATAGTTTTTTTTTTTAATTGCTTATGACAACTTTTAACCAGCAGAGAATCTCTCCCATGATTGAACACCATCTCCTTTACCTGTGTAAGAATGTATTTTCTGTTTGCTTCTGGTACTTCAATCAGACTTGCATTAATATAATCACTCTCTCCTGAAATTTTCACTCGGCTGTGGTCATCTTAGAAAAGGCAAGTTTTTTATACTTAATTATTTATGTTGAGAACAAACAAAAACAGAATCAATTACCTTCTAAACAATTGTTTTCAATCATTTAATACTCACACAAATTCTTTCCCCATATGTTGAATTTAAATTATCAAATAGCTAAAAATAAAATAGTTGCAATAAATTTATTATAAATACATCATTAATTCTATGTAAATGTAGCTTGAAGTACACTGGCAAAACTGTTTTCCAAAATTTAATGGTTGATTTAATTAATTTAACCAACTGCTTAGACCAGTGATTTCCAAAGTGGGCAATACCGCCCATTTTGGGGGAGCTGGAACGATCCAGGTTGGCGATAGTAGCCTCAGGTGCATTTGGGGACATTGAATAAATATAAGGGCTCAATGAAAGCATAAAGAAGAGAAGAGAAGAAGAATTAGAAAAACTGTTTGTACATATTTCATCAGTTTTGTAACATAGTGTGACATTATTTTCCAAATAATCACACAAAATGCACAAGGTTCATCCTTCTCATTAGGATTATTTATAATGTTATTTTTAAATTTTATTTTTCTATTATCCTTAATTATATTCATTTTCTGTGTTTGTAAAAAATTTTTTCAGTAACTCATTCAGACAATAGTGATATTTCTAAATTAATTATAACTTTCATCCAAATGACCTTATTGCTCAGTATCTACTTCTTAAAAACCAGTCCAACCTTATTGCAGACCCTGTCACTAATCAGATTTTCAAAAAACCTCCTCTTTTCCCTTTATGAAGAGACAAGAGCCTTAGGGCATGCTTGGTAGAAGCCACCTCGCTGCTTTAAAAGCACATATCAGCACCAAAAGTTGCAACCGTAGCCACTGTAACACATGTCCCTAAGTGGATTAAAGCTGATACGGTCACTTTCCCTCAGGAAATATTCGGAATCAAAAATTACTAGAACAAGTTGCTATGTGATTTACACCATCCTTTGTAAAAATATTCCGAAAATTATACATAGGGGAGACAGTTCATCACCTTGGAGACGTTTTAGAGAACACCTGTACAGCATCAATAAACCATCCCTTTGTCCTGTTTCTAAACATTTCAATAATGCTAACCATTGAAGTCACTGTTATATTTTATGCACCCGATAGGATTTATATTGTTAATTGTATACTTACATGGGCTAACATCTCTGTAGCGATTCTTACGACGGTTGTCTGGATCTCTGGCTTCTTTTGTAGAATATTCATCACCCAGTGTCAGAAGAGATGATTCATTTTTTAGCCTCTGAATTAAGATTCACATACATTACTTAACACAATTTAATTTATTTGTGTAAAAAGACATACTCAATTTAACAGTCATCCCAGTCAAAGTCATGAAACAACAAACTAAGGATCAACAAATATTCCAAAATGGTCTCAAATATCCAGGATTATTATTTTGATAGTTAAGATTTTTTTTAAACTTTCATTTACATGTACACAGTACAATACTGTTTCAGTATTTAAATTCAAGAAATGTTTAGCAGTCAGAACCTGATTAAAAAAAAAATTATGAAGCAAAGGTGGTGTCATGTATTTAATTTTTAAACATAAAAGAAGCAAAAGTCCTAATTTAACAGTGAAAGAACAGGTTAATTTTCAGATTTATATTTATCACTACCAACAATTGAAAACAAAGATGTGTACCACATAGGTGTGATAGGTATGAATTGATATACACTATGTACACTTCCAACATACAAGAAGCATTTTCTTAATTATAGAGGCTAGGCCAGTGGTTTTCAACATTTACAGTGCCATGAAACTTTTATAACATTTGCCAAATGTGGCAACCCACAACCAGGCTTACTCCTAGCTTTTGAGAAGCTGGAAGTTAAAGGTGGTCAGAGATTAGCTGCTGATATCTCCCAAATGAATCAAAGTTTTTTTGGTTTTTTTTAGCTATAGTGTCGTCACAGTGTGCTGTCAATAAGAAACTAAAAAATACAAATGTACTAATTTCTGAAGTTCTCAATCGACCCTTGGCATATTGTTATGTGACCCCTGAGGGGCATTCACTAATGATGATGTGTCACATGGGAGGGGGGGGGGTACTTTTTGTGACAATAGGGGGGTTGTAAAGGAAATATGCCATATCGTAATGGCTAACATTTCAAGATAATTTAGATATTATTACCGATACTATTAGTTTTAGTAAACTAGATTCTATTAGAATTATATCAAACAGTGCCCCCTCGTCTATTCTAGGGGTTCGGTTAAATATTCTTTAAGTTTTTTAAATTAATATTTAATATATTTTTTATATTATTTTCAAGTTTTTAAGCCAGAAAATGCTTATTTTACCGCAAAAATAGTTAAAATAATAAATATATAAAAATACCTATATACTGCAAAATCCTGCGTTATAGTTAAAAATCTGCGATACAAAATTAGATTAAGATATATTATATTAACAAGAAAAAAATGTGCCATACAGTGATACCACGAAAAAAGTGAACCCACATTAGAAGAAGGATCACTGTAATAATTATAATAATATATATACTTCAAGTGTCAATAAGTATGAAATAATAAAGTCTGCATTCAAGCTGTTACAGTTCAAGCCCTGTGACAGCCTGTGAATAAAATAGTATGGACATGAGCATGGGTACCTGTACAGTAGACTATTCATACTGTTTTTACAAGTCCAGTACAGGTTTTGAATCTTGAAAATATATAATTCATCCAAAAATGCATCATAATTATTAATTTTTGTTAAATGCCTCAAAGACAAGAGTTGTACGTGTAGCCACAAATATTTATATTTTTTTTACACCCATGGCGACAAAATGCTTATAGGCTATATAGGCCAAAATGATTTTTTTTTTTAATTGTCACTTTAACTTTAGGTAGGTACCCTACTATAAATTACTAATTATTACCTATTCCTACTAATTATTAATTAGGGCATAGGGCGTACAGGGAACAGATGAGTTAAAGCTTCACATGGACTGAGTCCCTGACTCAGTGACAGTCATTCACTTTCAAACTTTCAGACTTTAAATGTTCAGTTCAGACAATGCTTTTTCACTTTCATTTCTGACTGATGGATTCAAAATAAGCCTTTTTGTATCAGGACGTGGTGGGACTATGAACTTATGACTTATGGTTATGGAAAAACTTCACAACTGTATGAATTATTTTCATTGATTTCATTGTCTTAGCTTTTTTTTTTTTAATAGGCTCAGGACTGGCCCTTAGTTAGTAATGACTAACACTAAGACAACTAAGACTAAGAGGCAATATATGTGGCACTTTATCATAAATCATATCGGCTATTTTTATTTATTTTTTTTAAAGAAAAAATTACTTGAAAAACTTCGTTCCAACAATTGTTGCCATCATAATCAGCAAACTCTTTTTCTGTTTGTGAAGTCATTTTGAGTATTGATTCAAAACTACAGGTTAGGATATCATTTGCAAATCACTCAATCTTGATTATTTTGGAGTAAATCCAAAAGCATTATAAAATATTATCAAGCTTTCACTTGTTTTTCTGGTTGACCGGACATAAGATAAATCTACAAGTTGAATTCAACACTTCCTAATTGGTATAGCTATTTACCGAAATAAAGTGAAAACTTTAGATACTTAAAAAATAACAACTTAATTTTATGTTATCATATGCCAACATTGATATACATAGTCAAAGACTTACCATTATTTTAAGGTTTGAACGAAACCAGCTGCGTGCCTAGGGGCGCAACGACCCGCGCGGCACTTTTTAAAAATATTATTACCAATTTATTATACATGTTTTGTTTACGTGGGAGCGGTAGTGGAAGGGTATTTTGTCAAAATACGCCACTGGGTAACACGCAAGGTATGAAAAGTCACATCATCGCTGTTAGGTATTAGGGGGTATTAAAAACTATTCATACTATAATTTTTCTCAGTTGAATCTACTTTCTAACAAATTTAACGTCTTTACCTTATTCATTTCGTCCAAAATCGCTGAACAGTTTATGAATGTAAAATTAATTTTAATCATGAGAAAATTGCTTAATGGCATATTACTGCTACCTTCTCCAGGGGCGTATGGGGCGACCGCCCGGGTGGCACTTTGTTATGGGTGAAAAAAATTGGTGTTTTATTTTTTTAATAAATAAACAAATTTTAATTCAATTTACTTTTGGAATAACTTATTGCAATAATTTCTGTACAATTATGAATATTAATTACATTTCCCTATTTTCCCCCCCAGTATTGAAATTTCAACATAAAATAAAGTGAATTTTTAAAAACTATATGCTATATAAAAATTCTAACATCAGTGCATACTTAAAATAAAATGAGGTGCTTATCTGTGCGCCAAAAATAAAACAATTTTTGACAATTTTTTACTAGTGGTTAACTCCCAACTCAGTGGTGTAGCTCACTATTTGAAAAAATACCCGGTTGGGAAAAGGGGTGGCACTTTTTTCTCTCCATATGGGGGTGGGTGGTATTTTTGCCAAGTAAAACGAAAAGAAATAGATTTTATGAATTAAAAAACGCCTGGCATAATTTTATAATCAATTACTGCTCATTATATGAGATACATGAACTCTGGAAACATTGGCCTCATTCTAAGTTTTAGCTCATCGTTCTGACCCAGTTAAAAAGAACTATTAGTGGGGTGGCGAATGAACAAAACAATCATTCAACTAAGTGGATGGTTAATCGAAAGTCGGTATTTGAAAGATATTTCTTTTGATGAAGAATGGTGACCTGAAATAACAAGCTCAATCCAGGCCTATTTGCTTTCACAAGTTAGGCCCCGGGAGAGGCAACCATTTTATAAAGATTAATTTTAAAAAGATATATTTAAAAAGCAGCCGTTGGGTTTATAAGCATATAATTATAAGTTAGTCAAGTTCAATAAATCTCTTTAATTATTTAAATTATAATTGTCTTTTGCTGCCCACGGATACTACTTCTAGGCTAAGTGCTATTTCTTATTTTTTATTTCATTTCCAAACCGTTTTTTCTGTTGTTTTGTTCGCTGACGGTGGCTTTCTGTCGACACGTTCGTTGTTTTGTTGCGTTCCTTTTTTCAGGTTTAACCCTACTCTGTTTTACTTATTTTATAATCCATTGAATGGCTCGGCTTGTATCAATAGGCCTATTGATGGTAATCATGAACGGAGTCACTCCAAGGAAATGATATTCAATATTAAAAGTTAAAAAAATGGAATTGATAACTGTAATGCTGAACACTGATGCCTAGCGGTAATTTTGATATTTTAAAGTTTAATTTCATTTTTTTAAAATTTATTATTAATTAAGGATAGATTTTACTTTATTTATGTTAAGTAAGTGTTTCGAAGCGGTTTTTTCTGATATAGTTATAATTATCTTACTTAGTCAATCTTAAAATTAAAAGGGATCGGATGGACCGTACGCGACTTCTTCCTATTCAAGACTCAAGCTACTCCTTGCCTTAGCCTTAGCCTTAGACTAAGACTTAGACTTAGCACTTAGACTAGTTGAACTATAGTTAGTAATACTAGAAAATATAAATGAAAGGACTTCTTTCAAGCTTAGTAAATGAATAAAATAGCAAAACGAGGTATGTGTGAAGCTTGAATAAATAAGAATAAGATAACAATAACAGGACAAAAAACAAGGACATTTCATTTCGACATAAAGCCTTCCTCAGCCAACAGTAGAAATGAAAATATAACTTCTTGAGTTGTCTACTGTGCTCTATTCTTTGTTTTTTGTCCTGTTATCTTATTCAAGCTTCACACATACCTCGTTTTGGTATTTTATTTATTAGTAATACTATTCAGACTCTTACTCACAATCCGACTCTCATTGACTCTGACTAAGTTTAAGGAACTAACAATTAACAACTAACTTCTAAACTAATAATGTCAGATACTAAAATTAAAACGGTAAACAATGGGGACGCCTGACACTATTTTATCGAATTTCGCAAATGTATCCCTAAATCAATCCCTATGCCTAACCTGAACCCTAAATCGATCCCTATGCCGATGCCTAACCTAAACCCTAATTCACTGCAACTATAATAAACTTACAAAAGACGCCGTGGCAGCCGTCCTCGGATTTAGCCATTAAAACTAAGTCTAAGTAACCTATTAAAGTAAAAGAGGCGGCAATCCTCCGAAGTCCGGTCCCAAATTATTTTGTATGAAGAAAATTGGAATACACAGTTTTTATTGTTAGAAAATAGTTGAAATGTCAGTCATAGCTTTTGCAAATAACTGTCACTTTACAAACCAGTCAGTAAATACTAAATGTTGTAATTGGCTCATAGCATTTGCAAATAGCAGCTGAAATTGTTCTGCTTGTTACTGTTACGCTACTGAAAGGCCCCCATGTAGTTGGCAAACAGACCGCGACTAGTACCACTCTGAGAGCGAAGTTTACGTTTCACTTGCATCAAAAGTCCTTCAATAGCTTTTGTGTGAATGTCCTGGTCTACTGAATCAACAAATTCACGCGTTTGCACAATGACAGCGTGGGCATAAATCTCATTGTTGAGCTGAGCGACATTTTGATATCCTCTCCAAGCGTTCATGACGATAGGGTCCTTGGTAACACATGATTAGTGTTAATGCGCTTGAGTGTTTGTGCATCTCGATGTCCAACAACCTCCATCTAACATCGTCCTCTACCACGCTCAACCAAGCAGACAACCCACTTATCAACGCGTCCCTGTCCACTGTTCTATTTTCTATGGAAAAAGTAACTCATCCATCTCAACAAAAACAGACTGGCAGTTTGCATCAAAGCCTCCCAGCAGTTGATTGGTTGTCAGCATCCATTGACAGAAATCCTGACAAAGATAATTGTTATAGTTGATGATAGTGTCCCAGCTAACTAGGCTCTCGAACAACATAACGTGTTTGCACTTGACTTCATAAATCTAATAATACATGATAATAACTGTTTTTCACTTGTTAGATTGCAATTGGCAAAGAATGACCCAGTTCTAACACTACCGCGGGTGTTGCATGGGTAACAACGCCACTAAAAACCGTAGTTGCATTCCGCACGAGCGACTAACGCCATTGTTATTTTTGATCAAGCAGTGTCGGCCCAGCCACTCCAACCATTCAAGCTTGTTTGACATTACAGCATACAACTCACATGGAGTTACTTCAATTCTGCCCTGTTGTGCTGCTGGAAAAATAATCAAACTTATCGTTGCGGCTGGTCTACCTGCCATAATTTAACAAATTTATTGAAATGTACACAAACATGAATTCCAAAACAAAATGATGCCTAAGACTTTTAAGTAAGGAGTAATCATTGGAAATAATTTGGTACTGGACTTCGAAGGATGAGGCTAATTAAATCATTTCAAACTAGGTTCTTCGGCTTGGTAAAAAAATTTAAAAAATTCAAAATAATTTTTTAAATATTACAGTTATTTAGAGCAAATTTCAAATAAATAAATGAAATTAGAATAAACTTTTTAGCTTTAGTAATTTTTAGCTACGAATTGTTAAAGTGTGAGTTCGTTTGGTATTTTTTACTATGAATGAAACCTCCACATCTTGTGACCTCTTTCCACAGATCGGGTCATGCACAATTACTATATAGTTTATATAAGACAACGCATCCCCTTATTGCAAAAATAATGTTTAGGGACTATTTATTTTGCACTTTCAACTTCGGCACATGACTAATTAATTAAAGCTTTCCCTAACCAATGATTTAATAGTTTTTGCACATGGCAAACTTTTATGAATAAAACTCTGTAATAGTATACTACGGTATAGCCAATATGCAAGTAACTGTGAATGGCTGCCCATGACAACGTTTTGCACACAGCAAATTATTATCAATTATAATACAAATTTTACTGGGATTTTTAACCTCAAATTAAAATATTATTCTTTAAATAACATTTAAGCTCAATCTAAAACATAACTTATAAATATTTTGATGTAAATAGTGGTAATAATTAAATATTTCCCAAGTATCGGCATCTTCTGCCATTAAAAAGGGGACATGGCCCACTCCATGTCGAAATTAGGCAAAGCGTCCTTATGGTAAAACAGGTTACTGGGACAAGCGTAGCGATCGTCAGACACGACCTACATCAATGAAATTTGGCACACATATACATCAATATATAATGCTTTTCACAATTTAATATGAAAGACCTAGATGCCTTATATGATTTTTAAAACAAATTTCGATCAAAAAGGCAAAACTGTATGTTGGAATGTAGGTCAAGATGTCCCCTAATGTGGAAGGATACTACAATTTTATGACAAAATAGTCCCTTAATCAACGGAAATACCCAACGTCCAAAAATTAAAAATTTTGATTCTTCTGTGCCGCCGCCCATTTCCCATACAAATTTTGAAGTAGTCTCCCTTGCTTTACCGAAGAACCTAGCTCAGAAATGGACTAGGCCTTAAGACTCAAGCTTTTTATTTTATTACAGTATACGTAATAATTATTAGACTAATAAAATAGCAGTCACAAGGGACTGAGTAATTGCTTACCCAAGTGTTCCATGCCAACCATGTATGCTAGTTTTAACTGAAATGAATGATTAATTTGATGTATAATAAAATTTTAACACAGAGACCTAATTTGTAATCAATACATATTTTATATTGACAATCATGGAAAGAGCCTTTAAAATATTTCCAAATTTCTAATAATAGGCCTATATTATAGTTTAGGCCAATTATATTTATAAATGAAATAAATGTAGTAATATGTAAGTGAATTAAATAACAATTTTGCCAAATAGACTGTACTTGAATTCAAATTCAAGCATTCAGAAAATTTTGAATAAATTGTAATAATTTTTTTATTTATATTCATACATGTCAAAGGGACAGCAGAAGAACCAGTTACAACATAATCATGCATTGCATGTACAAGCAAATCCACCCAGCTACTGGAATAGAACATTGCATTTGTGCCCATTTCTTTAGTTGGGAAGAAAAAAATTTGATTGTCGCTGGAGTAAATCAGTTGCATGTGTATCGACTCAGTTCTGAACCTGAGGTCAGTTATGTTGTTAAAAAAATTATTCTTAAAAGAAATTTTTACCCCAAAAGTTAAAATGATGAAATTTAAATCACTGAACATCAACTATTAATTTAGGAAATTATTTAAAAAAGAGTCATTTATTTGAATAGGTTTTAAATATCTATATTTTGTTGTTATATTTCAATTTGAATCAGGTAAGCTATTACTTGATAAGGAAGTAATGATGTGGTAATACTTAAATGTAAACTTATCCTTAATTTGCTATTCACCAACAGCTGGTCAGCCCAGATGGCTTACTTGTTACTGAACCTGAAAAAGGTTAGTAATATTTAATGACTTTGTTATTTTTCTTATATACCAGTTTCCTGCCATAGATATATGTTGATCTTTGAAACAGTATCCAAATATCTCTATATAACCATTAATAAACTGATTTTTTATTTGTAATTTTTGTCTTCTAGAAGATGTAAAGACTCGTCTTGAGTGCTTGGCTTCATACAGTGTCCATGGGAATATACAATCGCTTGCAGCTGTCAAGCTTGCTGGTGCAAACAGGGATGTATTGCTTCTCAGCTTCTTAGATGCCAAAGTGAGTTGCTTGTTCACAAGTGTAGATGAAAATAATTTTGGTGCCTTTCTTCTTTTCTCAGGCATCTGCATATGTTTTTTTTCTTCAAAAACTAACTATAAAGCCCCTATAAAAATGTTCATAATTGACACCTAAAAATCTTTAAAGATAATTTTAACCAACTCCCTGAAGTTACTAATGAGGTGAATGTTAATTACTTTTTAAATAATTTTTTATTTTTTAAATAAATTCTTGTTAAAATTGCTGATGGGAGTTTGCAATATTATTTGGTAGTTAAAAATTTTAGGTCAAAATTAGTTCCATTAACATTTTGAAATCCTACATTTCTACAAGTAAATACTGATTCCTTCAAACATTAACACTTACTCATCTACAGGTAACTGTAGTCTTCAGAGCTTGACACTTAACATAACATTTATCTTTAGAAAAAAGTATTTATAAATTGTCTTTGCCAATCTTAACTTTCAAATATTCCAGCTGTCAGTGGTAGAATATGATCCCAGCACACATGACCTTAAGACCTGTTCATTGCACCAGTTTGAAGAACCTGAGCTGAAGGTAAGCCTATCAATAGCTCAAAAATATTTTTTTTTCAAACTTTACACTTTGACTTAATGAAATACTCCAAGTAAATTATTTCTTGTTAACTCTTAAAGAATCAGGCGCTCTACATAAGCTCTGCTGTTTTCAGATGTAAATCTACCTAAAGTTGACTGTTTAGGGACTTGACAATATTTCATTACTTTTCTTTTTGGTGGTGGGGGGGGGGGGGGGGGGGGGCGGAGTTTTCACAGATTAATTTTTCTTATGAATTATTGTAATAGCTGATATACAATCTTGAGTTTCGTTATCATGTTATTTTTAAAATATCCATTCATAATTACAGGGTTTGTTAATTTAATATTATTTATTGATAAATTTTCATTCATGTAATTTATTTCTAGAGTAAATCAAATCAGCATAGTTTTCAAAAAAAAAAAGATGGATAGCTTCATGTAACAGAAATACATAATTAATCAATTTCCATCATTATAAGATAATAATTTTTATAATTTCATACATTTTTAGGGTGGTTACCACAGCAATATTCACCTTCCCATTGTCCGTATTGATCCTGATGGACGGTGTGCTGGAATGCTTATCTATGGGACACATCTGGTTGTTCTACCATTTAGAAAAGATGCTTTAATGGACGACCTGGATTCACTTTCAGGTAGTGTTGGGAAGTAAGTATATTGTTGAAATTTTGAAAGCATCTCTATATGCCTATTTCACATAGTAATAGTGTATCTTTCACAATATTTTAAGTTGACATAATAATAAGGATTTGGTAAAATCAAACTTAATTATTTTTTTATAACCCTGCACACATTTGAAAAAGAAATTATGATTTATTGCTTTTGTGGTTGAGACATCCAATGATTACAATTTATTTAAGTGGTATAACTGGGTTGTCTTTCTTGAATTTAACGCATATGTAATTTATACAATATGTTCTTCTGGCGTTGCTATAAAATAAAATGTATTTTCTTCAGGTCTCCTATTATGTCCTCATATACAATAGACCTCAGAAAAATGGATGAAAAGATAATAAACATTTTGGACATCCAGTTTCTTCATGGTTACTTTGAGCCCACTGTTTTTATACTCTACGAACCTCTTTCAACGTGGGCAGGGTAAGTAACATGTGTGTATGTATCGACTCAGTACTGAGTTGATAAACTTGAAATTTTATAATGATATTTATGAGAGACTTGGCTGTACAGTCTCAAGTGTCTTTTCTACCAAAGTAAGGTAGCTTTATATCTACAGTGTGAACCAAATATGGAGATGCAATGCACATTTTGTTAAAAATTAAAAAATTTTTAGAGAAGGAAAAGGGGCTTTGAAAATCAAAAGGCTAACACATTAGTAGAAAGTAAGCATCCTGTTGTCCATAAAAAGCTATGAAGCTAATTTCACCTACTGCCTGAAAGACAAAAGCATATAGCTATTCATGTTTTTGGTGTCATTGTATATTGCAATGATTTATAGAATATACTTTTTTTAATATTATTGGCAAGGGTTCTTCATTAAAAAGTGTTTTTGATTTTGTTTATGATATCTAGGAGAACAGCAGTCAGGACGGACACATGTTGTATAGTCGCAATCTCATTGAATATTCAACAAAAAGTGCATCCTGTCATATGGTCCCAGGCCAGTTTACCATTTGATTGTTTTAGTGTAGCACCAATACCCAAGCCCATCGGTAAGTTGGAATGAAGTGTTCACACAGATCGTTTGTAGAATGTTGTGAGCACTAGTTGAGCGTGAATAGCTGTTGTTGTTGGTTACATTTTGATTGCATAGTTCGACTTTCCTGCAGGTGGAGTGCTCATTTTTGCTGTCAATTCTCTACTGTATCTCAATCAAAGTGTGCCACCGTTTGGTGTTTCACTAAACAGCATTGCTGAATCATCATCCGCCTTTCCCCTTAGTAAGTTTAAATAAACTTAGTTTGAGTTAGATGATCTTTCTTTGCATTTAAGTTTACTAGAAACTATTACACATTAACAGAACTAAAGTAGGGGGTGTTTATAACCAATAAAAATTTAACTTATCAAAAAACTACATCGATGATTACTGAGCCCTTGAAAAATGTTCATGCTCAAAGCTTTATACCTACATTCTCATATCCATAAAGCTTTAATTTACTTTTATTATTTTTTTAGAATAGAAGAAACATATTTTTTTCTTTTAACAGAATCGCAAGATAATGTTCAATGTACATTAGACTGTGCTCGTTTTGCCATCATATCTAACGACAGATTGGTGCTGTCTCTTAAAGGGGGAGAACTGTGAGTATGAGGTCAAATAAGTAAGAAAATTAAAATGTTCAGGAAATTAAACATCATTTGTGACAAATTATTTTCTCAATGTTAGTGCAGATACCTCTAAACGAGAGGCACCTATGTGTAAGTGTAATCCCAGGGTTGGCAGTCTCCATCTATAAGCAAATTCATTTAAAATTATTTTTTAAAATTATATTCTTTAATTAACAAATTGTCTGTAAAGAAAAAATTCATCAAGAGATACTTTCAGCCTGTTGGTTTGTATGTTTATAAGGTAAAATAAGACAATCTACTCTACTGCTTAGATTTGTTTTTAAAATAAAAGTAAATAATTGTTTTAAATTTCCCAAAAGATATGTCCTGACATTGGTTGTTGATAGAATGAGATGCATGAGAGACTTTCACTTTGACCGTGCAGCTTCAAGTGTCCTTACTACCAATGTAAGTTTTTGGTTCATATTCTTTACTGCTTTAGACCTCTGTAGAATGTAAAAAAAAATTTTTTAAAATGCATACACATCTTTGGTGATGTGCGTTTTTTCTCCCTTCTTTTTTGAATGGGGGATGAGGTGGGGGGGGGTGGAGGGGTGGGTGGCACACCTGTGGAAGTTGGAGAGTCTGTTAAAAAGTAATATAAATTTAAAAAAATGTTTATTTACCTTTCAATTCTTGAAAATAATCTATCTGCTCATTGTACCTGTTTTTAAATTTCTATTTAAATTATTAAATTACTATAATACTTTTGAAAAGGAACATGAAATGTTAAGATAAACAATTTGATAGATTAATAATTCGATAGATTAATAATTCTTGTCTGCATAGGAACTATAAGCTGTTTCAACTTCAATCCTAAGGAGTTCCCTTTAAAAAAAAACAACAACAAAAACACCACTCCTTAGTGTCACTTAAACTATATTCTGGTTTGTAGTTAAACAGATGCACAAATACAAAAATACTATTAAATATTAGCCAGTTTACTGAAAGCATACAATTTTAACATGACGTTTTCTTCTGTAGTTAACCTTCTTTTCAAAAAAACATACCAGTTAACTGAAAGCACACAATTTTAACAGAAACCCATAATGGCCAATTACAGAAATGTTTTTTTTGGTGTAAAATTAAATCATTACTGTGTTAAATTATTTTTGTTTCAAATGAAACTGACTAAAATGTAATGTGACTCAGAAAACCATTTTTCCAATTAATGAATAAATGAAGTTCAAGCTCATATGGAATATTTTTATCTTTGATAACATATAAAAATTAGTGACTTCCCTAACCCCATTGCCGGAACGGGACGCAGTTAATGAATTTGTTAATTTTAGATGTGTGTTTGTGCTGATGGGTATCTGTTCCTGGGCTCTCGACTGGGAAATTCACTTTTACTGAAGTACACAGAAAAGTCTTCAGGGACTGTCATACAGGCTGAGGAGAAGAGATCAGGGGTTTCAACAAATAAGAAGAGGCGAGTGGAGGGTCTTGAACAGCTAGGTATTTCATCACCTCTAATGCTCCTGTTTTTAGTGTAATCCAGGGCCTTGCGAAGCTGGCACCTCCCTCGGGCCCTATTTTTAAAAAGGTGAAAAAAATCATATTTTTGTTCATCGAAAAAGTGTTTTAAGCTTATCGTTTTTGGGAAGAGGGGGCCAAAATGCACGCTTTGATCCTGGGCCCAGCATTTGCATGTCATGGCCCTGGTGTTACCTAGAGATGGGGGCTTATTATTTTTTTGCTTTTCTCCTCTCCATTCACTTCATGACTCTACGCATTTTGAGACTTGTATCCTGAGCTTCTGGACATACCTTTGGAATAGTCAATTAAATTCTTCATTTTCTTCCATGTGTTCCATATGACGTTGTTTGTCTAAACCTTTGATAATTTTGAGCCTTTTAGTCTCTGAATTAGGGTTTCTAATCACATGTCTTGGACGACTTGGTGACTGAGTTTGTAATCCATTTTATTTGATCGGCAGCGTCTGATGTGTCTGAAATAGAAAATGATGATGAGCTTGAAGTTTATGGAGCATTTGAAACCCAACCAGGAACCAAGATTGCATCATATACTTTTGAGGTGAGGAACTTGTGAGCTGTTCATATAGTAAATAAATATATGCAAATATTTAGGCATCGTAGATTCATCATCTTGGTGGTGTCTTCCATTAAGTATCTATAAATAAACATCTTGTAGTGTTCTCCCATAGATTAATTATCTTTTGGTGTCATCCCACAGTTAAATTATCTCTTTGAGTTATCAACTTTTCCCAACATCTAATAATCTGGAGAAAAGCACCTGTATGCTTTTCTTAAGTAGCAATCCTCATCTGAACTGTTTAAATTTATCTTTAATTGTTTTTCCAATATTGTGAAGGTTTGTGATAACATCTGGAACATAGCACCTTGTGGACAGGTTGCCATGGGAGAGCCTGCATTTCTATCTGAGGAGTATAGCTCTCATATAGACCCTGACTTGGAACTGGTTACCACATCTGGGCATGGTAAAAATGGAGCTATATCTGTCCTTCAGGTGAGTCTGGTTAAATAAGGCTAATATTTATATTAAACATCAAACAATAAACAATAATTATTACTTGTATTACTTGTTCCCATCCGCATTTCAATAATTTGAAATGGTATTTGCATAATGAGACACATATTAAATGAATTAGAATTTCCTTTAAAACATATGCAATATTTATATATATGGATGGGACTCATTAACCTTGGATAGCAACTCTTCTAAGAGAGGGCAAAAGTGAAATTAAACCTGGAGATGGAGTCCCGTAGGTGTTTTGACATTGTGTGACAAAATCCCACTGATCTTTAAAATTTCAAAATATATTTAGAACACCTTCTTAAGAAACACACCCCCCCCCCTTCCCCACCTTCAAAAAAAAATACTGTTCAGCATGAATTATATATATAACTACACTTCTAAATCTAAATAGTGAAGTTTTTTTACTGGGACCTTTAAAATTTTAATTCTTCTGACTATTTAGTTGGGAAAAATAGTGATATATGCAGGCTAAAAAAGATACATAAATTATTATGCATTCATCTGTTTTAATGAAATGGGATAAATTCTAGTTAAACTTTTTAACAATTTTAACCACCCCACCCAAAAAAAATAATATCTGCGTCTACAACTATTCTATCTGCTTAGGTTGACCTAAATGTAACTTGTGCACCACCAGTATTAAAAAAAAAAAAAAAAAGGGAAATCTGAATTTCAATATATCTAAAAAATTAAGGACATGGTTAATGAGCTTTCATATGTGATTGAATTTTCAGCATAGCATTCAAAAAAATAATATCTGCGTCTACAACTATTCTATCTGCTTAGGTTGACCTAAATGTAACTTGTGCACCACCAGTATTAAAAAAAAAAAAAAAAAAGGGAAATCTGAATTTCAATATATCTAAAAAATTAAGGACATGGTTAATGAGCTTTCATATGTGATTGAATTTTCAGCATAGCATTCGACCTCAGGTGGTCACAACATTCTCACTCTCTGGTTGTATTGATATGTGGACCGTTCACTCAGCCACAAGCCTAAATGACACGGACGAGGATGCCCAAGAAACAAAAACTTCTAGTGCAGACAGTGCTCAGGAATCTGCCGTTGGTGGTGGTCACGCGTTTTTGGTCCTTAGCAGGCGTGAGTCTAGTATGGTGAGTATTTAAATATCATTTTAAAAGAAGGAGAAAGAAAAGATTTGGTGAATGTTTAGCTAAAACTTTTGTGAGACTTAAAATTCAACACAGGATAAATATTTTATGACCAGCAACATGGGTGGTAACTCTTCTACCTTGTCCACTGAGTTCTCCTAGAGAGATATAATATATTTAATATAAGACTAGTTATATGTTGGAGCTCAATTTGAGACAAACCAAACAACAAACATCTTTGTATTTGCACATATAGAAGTATGCAATAAAAAAAAAAATTAAATGTTTTATGGATAATATCAGTGTAAATTTTAGATCAGACATACCACAATATCATTGCTGTTTTAATTCTCTGATTTTTCTTTGATCTTACACAATTTAGACCCTTTTAGAGAATATTTAGAGATGTGTATCTATTAGCCTGATGCGTGCTGTACCCTAAATAAAGATGGGCACGCTTTATACTTTATTTTCTTCAGGTTTTGCAGACAGGGAATGAAATTAATGAACTTGATCACAGTGGATTCAGCACCCAAACATCAACTGTGTTTGTCGGGAACATCGGCAATAAGCGATACATTCTACAGGTTTCACCCACTTCTATGAGACTCTTGGAAGGAAGTAAGTCAGAAAAATATACAAACAGATTGGAGGTTATTGGTCTACACATAGGGTGTTTAAAAAAGTTATAAAAATGAAATATTATTTTGTATTTATTTATATATGTGTTCAGTGAAAAAGTAAAGGTTTTCTTTTTCAATGGTGAGTCAAATGTCAGTCCATTCAGAATTCTGACGATTTCAAATAATGGAAGTTTTTGGTTTCACATTTTTAAGTAACAATACAATTTCTCCAAAAAAAAATTGTAATCCACTGAGACGTTTTTTTCAAATAATGCACAATGCCGGTTTTTTAGTGTCTGTTTTTTTGAAAGGGCAAACTCAAACGACCAAGTTTTCAATTTAAAAAATCTTGAGCATTTCTGTTTGCATTTAGATCAATGAGACACAAACAATTTTTGTAAATAATACAATAAATGTTAAGCTTTAATTATGGTAACACAAAATACAAAGTCTAATGTTTCGTCAAATGCCTTCATCAGTACAACAAAAAACATTAATATAAATATAAATTAAATGTACATAATGTATATATATTTATCCTACTTATACCTAAAAATGAAAGTAACGAATAAAAATGGGCACAAGTCCCTAATGAAAACAAAGGACAGAAGAGCAAGAATGGGCACAAATCTCTAACAAAACAAAGCTCAGAAGATCGGAAAGAAAGTGGGTGGAAGTAAATTTGTATTTATAATTATTTTTAAAAATCTTTTCGTTTCAGTTAAACAAATTCAACATATACCTGTTGACTTAGGCTCATCGATACAAAGTTGCTCTGTCTGTGACCCTCATGTTGTAGTGATGGGAGCTGAGGGGCAAATGATGATGTTTACACTGAAAGATGACCGTCTCATGGGAGGTGCCAGATTGTCGGCCAGTAAAATGCCAATACCACAAGTATGTAGCGTTTTACAAAAAATATAAGAAGAGGGTAAAGTGCATGTGTTTTTAATGGTGGGCATCACCTTCAGAAAAAAATGATATCACAATCTGGAGTAGGGTAAAATGATTAGAAATAGACGTCCTGATGAAAATAAACATCATTTAAATTGAGATTTATAATAAAGCAGTTCAGATTTTCTAGAAAGCCTTAAAAAAAGTTTGAAAATACTATTTTGAATTGACAAATCATTATATTCAACAAGTCTAAATATGAAGCAAATGCTAAAAATCATCATGAACTTTCAAATGTAGCTCAGTTCAAAGGGTTTGCAAGAAGTATGCAGAAGCAGATCTGTGACCATCTAGCTTGCATTTTGTCTATGGGACTGTTTTTACATACTGTTATATTATTTTGCAAATTTATCAGTTTTAATATTTGGCTCGTTTGTTGAACAATACATAACAAAGGACTGAAAACTTGAATACAAAGAAAAATGATAGCAAAATATTAACAATATTCAATTTAATTTTACTATTAAATTTATGCAAAAATTCAAAATCAAACAATAAAAAATAAAATATATATTCACTTTCAGCACAGCAAGTGTAAAAACTTTTGGGTCGCCACAATGCTACATTGAAGTAAAATTGGGTCAAAACAAGGCTATAACACTGTTCACATCAGATTATCACAGCAGGTTGTCTATAAGACTGGTCCCATCAGATAATCACAATAGGTTGTCTATGGGACTTTTCCCATCAGATTATTATAGCAGGTTGTCTAGGGGACTGTTCTCATCAGATTCTAATTCCTCATAGACACTGTTATGAATTTAACTCAGAATAAGAGGCTGTATATACCTTTTTGCTTAATGGAATAAGATGCAGAGTGATGTAAACCCTATCTTATGAAGATTATAACAAAGGTTGAACAATACATGGATGATTTATCCCCATTATGCTAATAAAATGTAATAATTAATGAGGAATAAAACATAAGAAATGGTTAATGCACAGGTCAATCAAATTAGGCCTGATGTGGAGAAATAGGTTAACGTTTGCTGCCTGTAATAGATTCAGGCAGAGATACAAAGCCTCATGGCTAAATGAGTTTTAATAGACTGATATCATTAATTTCATATCAAATTATGTTTTTTTCAGGGAACATTTAAACATTTATTTAGACAGCCAGAATAGTGTCAGAAACAGAGTGAAACAATTTCTTATATATGACTGCCTATATAGACAAAGCTAAAGGTCACATATATCTCATTGCCCCACTGACAAGTTATTTTAAAAATTTTTTCTGTGCTTTGCTTCCCACAGAAACCACGCATATTAGCAGTGACCACCTATAAAGACTACAGTGGTCTTTTTGTCACGGAGACTCCTAAAGCTGAAGATTTAGTCACAAAAATTGAGCAAGTGAGGCCGGCTGAAAAGGCTCCAAGTTTCAAACCAGAGTAAGAGTGAATACAGTTTTAATCATGATTTCTGTTGTTTGTTTTCTCCAAGCAATGTGTGGTTTACATCTGTATCAGAGCTGCACCCAAAGAGCATACTGCTGAAAAGAAAAGAAAAGCAATATTCACACATTTCTTTTTAAATAAAAGATTTGACCTAATTTTTTTACAAACATAATATTTTTTGTTCATTGGCTATATTTTCAAATTATCTTTATTCATTTTACAAATAAACTATAATTTCTTATGTGCAATAGATACTTATCTCATCCAATTTATTAACTTTAATTCTTTTTTTCCTTCCTCTAATTATACAGTGAAGTAGATGATGAAGATGAACTGTTGTATGGGGACACTTCAATATTCACTGTGCCGGAAAAGAAGCCTAGTGGAGATGCAAAAGATATGTATGTCTTCACTTTCACCATCCATCATATTGTCTTCTAACATTTTGTCTTTTTTACTGTTTTAAGCTAACAATCGGTAATTGGAAATAAGCTTTTAGAATTGTTCTCTTTCATACTTACATTTCCAGCTAATGGATTCAAAGTCAATTAAATAATTAATATCACATGAGGTGTTGAAGCAGTAGATATGTCTTAATCCTTTTTCAAAACGTGTTCTTAATTTAATTTTTTTTTCAATATTTTAAAAGGACACTGGTACTCTATAATTTATTGTTTTTACACAGCATTGAATGATAGTGGGCGATGTTATCAAATGATGCATTGATGATCATCATTGAATTTTTACTGAAACTTTTTAAAGAAGCTTTCACACTTTTTACATTGCAATTAACAAGTTTTTTTTGTAAACACTAATTGACAGACAACTTGAGACCAAGAAAAAGGAGATTAAAGTATCGTCATGGCTACTGATATCTAGAGAACATGGGCAGCTTGAGGTAAAGACCACCAACTTGGGCTTCCATTTAGTGCCAAATAAAATATCTTGAAATTATCATGTTTTAAATACACTTTTTTGATGAAATCAAAGTGTTGAATGACAAACATTTAAAGATCAGTAGTTTATTTTGGAAATGTGAAGCAGGGGGGGTCTAATGCTCTAAATATATAGTAGGTTTTTTTAAACTTACATTGCTTTGAAGAGGAGCCCGTTTGGGAGTACTGATCAGGTTTGTTTGAAACTGTGTGGGGCAAGGAAATTAAAAAAATCAAAATCCTTTCATGTATAATATATAGATGGCACACAAAGACATCATAGTTCCCTAATTGCCGTATTTGGCTGTTGATTGAATACTTCCTTGAGGTGTTGTTTTTAAAATAAGTTATCACACAAAGGCACCAGACATATCGTACCATAACCAAATGTGGTATCCATGTATCAACAATTGATAAAATTCAAGATGTGGTTGTCCACAGATATACAGTTTGACAGAGTTCAAACTGGTCTACACAGTCAAAAGTTTTCCACTTGGTCAAAGGACTCTGGTAGACAGTGGGCCATCTTTTGATCCTACCAAAACAGGGTGAGTCATGCTTTTCAAAGAAGTATTTTTTTAATCTAATCATACTTTCATTAGTATCTTCTTTTTGCTAGTGTTCAAAGACTTTAAGTTCCACCTAAATAAATATATAATGCATTATGTGTTAAACAATGGTTAGAAAATGAGATATATTTTTTTTTTTTAAATAAAGGGTTATACTGGAAAGATAATTAGGTTTTTAAACTTTTGCAGGATGACTTCAGAGAAAACCAGCACAGGGGAAATGCCTGTTGTGAAAGAAATTCAAATGTTTGGCCTAGGACATAATAAATCACGTCCTTATCTCATGGTTTGTGGCATCAAAAGTTTTCACTAAATTTATGCATAATATACAATAATGCAGTGGCGTAGCGGGGGGGGGGGGGGGGGGGGGGGGGGGGGGGGGAGTGCGGACCACACCGGGTGACACCATCGCTGGGGGTGAAACACCAAATTGAATAAATGCATATTTACAAACTGCTTGGTCTTACCAAATTTCTAAAAAGATCACAAGTAAATTTTCCACACATGTAACCAATCCCAATGCGTGCTTTAATTGCGTCAGAAATGAGGTGACCTATAATTAGGTCAGAAAACACCGCTTTAGCCATGACTCAACACCGATTGAAGTGTTTGGTAAGTTTCGTAAGTGACGGGAAGCTATTTTTATCTAAATTCTGAGAAATAAAGCTTGTCATTGATACTAAATACCATGTGGTCGGGCAATTTCTAAGTACATGAATCAATCGGTAACAAGTAAAAACATGAAAAAATAACTTTTTACTCATGTATAGGGTTAAAAAAATAATATTTTCAAATATCTTTTAATAATTAATTTAATTTTTTTTTTTAATGTTTTTGAAACCAAATATATAGAAATCCAGAAATACTAAAAAATTAATATTTTTGCCGATTTGTCACTAGCACCGTCCCTTAAAATTTGACCCTGATTGTCATATTTTGAAACTTGGGTTTTACCTGCCACCTTTTGTGTGTTTTATTTTGGATAGTGCTCTGATTGACTGTTGCTTTTGCACTGTCGAAAGTAATTATTTCGTTTATTATCTACAACACAATGCAATGAAAGCATTTTTATTTTTGAGGACTATTCTATCATGCCACAGGCTTGCACAAATCTAAAAGGCCTAGTGGCTGCCAGAAGTGAAAAGCAAAAAAGAAGCGATGTGACTTACTAAAATCACTACCAGGATCCATGATGTGATATGTCAAGAAACTAAATGATGACCAGGGTTAATCAAATGATGTTCCTCAGCCTACCACTGATTCATTGATACTGATTCCTCCGATATGATGTTCCTCAGCCTACCACTGATTCATTGATACTGATTCCTCCGATACCAGCAGCATGCATTCTATAGTACAGAAAATGGAAGAGATTGACGTGGAATGTTGATTCAAACCAAGATACTGTAAACGTGATGCTTAATGACAAAAACCGTCACATTTGATCACATGCTTCTCTCTGGGATGTACCAGTTCCAGATTATTTTCTGGTCTGAAATTATTAAAATATGGAGTATAACCTCGTTTCAGATCAAAGACGGACCATTCAGCGTAGTGACAAGGGAAGATGGTAAATCTAAAGGAGATGTGCGCCAACTAACAAAACAATGGATCTACAGGATGATGCCAAATGACGAGAAAATGATGGGATCGTGGATGGTTTATTCACTCATCAGTCAGCAATGGTTGTTTTTTTTTTTTATGCAGATTGTTTGCTGTTAATGTTACAGAATCAACATCCAAATTTGTTACATGGGTTTATAAGTCGTGGAAACTGAGCCCAAATTTTACAAAAATAATGAGGCATTGGAAAAGCACCTATGTCGCCTTGAAAAATGGAAAAAATTGTCAGCAGGACAAATCTAAAAACATGATGGACCAGATATAATGATATGCAGAGCTCAAAGTTACAAGAATACTGCCACAATGTCTGGGTTCCATTGACTTGCCCAGGCCATTCTATAAAGAAAAAATAAGAAAGCAATTAGTAATGGATGTTTGGGCCATTCACTTAACTTGTGTGGTCAACACTCTTTTGCCAAAAAAGGCTTCATGTGTTTCATTTGTCGATACTCTTGAAAGAATATCTTCCTTCTTTGATGCATTCACTCATTGAAAAGATGTTTTAATTGTACACTGTAATGTCTGTGAAAAGAATAAGATTGTCAACAACAAATTGGAGTACTCATCATGCTGCTGTTAAAACAGTGAAAGATAAGTTTGATAAGCTCTATGAAATACTCTTAAAAATTTGGATACCAGAGGTACAGCGCAAGGTCTTTTGCATGCTGTCTGTGATTTCACATTTATCTGCTATCTTTACCTTTGGGCTGATCTACTTGAGGAAGTTATCTTACACAGCAGTATCTGCAGACTAAAGGCTTTACTCTTGTGTCTGCACGAGAAGCGCTGTCACTTGATCGAACATGCTAATGAAAAGGCACTTTTAAAATCAAACAAATATGGAATTTCGGTAGAGAGAAGATTAAAGTTTAAGAAGAGAATGGAAAGGGAATAATTAATAGATGCTGGACTCTCTTTGCGAGAAGAAAACAGTGGGGAGATGCTGGAGTGTATTAATCACTTTCATTCTGAATGCTAGATCAGATTATCAGCGATCAAGGAAGTAACAGATATATTTATGGATGTTCAACCAAAGAGTCTACTATCAGAAAGTGAAGAAGAGTTATTGGTTATGTTCCAGAATTAACCTCTTTCTATGATGAGTTATCAGAGGATGAACTTTTTAAAATAAATACCAACGCTTAGAGGAAACTTAACAGGCAGCTGATGTTGAAGTCATAGACTTGTCAGTATTTGGTATTTTGAAATTCACAGCTAAACAGGACTTCCTAGAATCTCTTCCAATACTCTTGCTAAGCCTTCAAATGTTTCTTACGATCTGTGTCTGTGGCTTCATGTGAGCAGAGCTATTCAAAACTAAGGCATATCAAGAACTATTTACAATCCACCATGCAGCTTTGCATCTTTGAAGACCAGGAAAGGAAAATTTTAAATAAAGTAAATTTAATGTAAAAGTAACTAGAACTTAATGTTGTTACAGTTCTTAGATACATTTACTTCCTGACCTTCAATAAATTTTTTCTTGTCATTGTTATACTGTGGACTTATTTTAACAAGAAGAAATCCCTCGGGGGTGGGGGGGGTGTTTGGGTGGAGAGAGAGAACGATGAACCAACCCTAGCTACGCCACTGCAATAATGTATAGGTGATAGTCTCAAACCTATGTGGATTTTATTACCAATTCCATTTACGTCTGAACATGTCAGAAATTATAAAAAACATTTTATGACTCTAAATTTATTGATACATCCAAAACATATTTATGGCTTTGAAATTGATCTACTGATTATGGACCCCATTTCATTTGAGATTAACACATTCATATTTTACAGGCAAGAGTCGAAGAAGACTTGCTTATCTATGAGGTCTTCCCAAGGGTGCCCAGTGCAGCAGACATTCAGATGACAGGAGAGCACCTTCGTATCCGTTTTCACAAAGTATCACATGAATTAATTCTGCGAGAGAAACCGTCGCACGCGCGGAGGAAGGGTGAAGACGATGATGAGCCGCCTGATGAGAACACGCCTCCTGACCACATCCAGCAGCTGCGATACTTTGATGATGTGTCTGGCTACTCTGGGGTAGGATCAATTACAGGATTAGATTATTTATACAAACCAGTCCTCATTCTAGCAAAGAATGAATGATAAAATATTAAAGCATTACTTATTACTTTACTAATGACCTTATGGAAAAGATGAAGTTACCAGTTCTTTAAGCCCTAATTCAGTTCTTGTTTGTATGAATGTAATTTGGCCTTGCTACCACATAATACTACTACTTTATAACGCTGAATCTTCTCTTTTATGATTAACTGTACAAAACATTGATAGACATTGGTTTGAATTATACAAAGTTCGTTCAACCACGCATGAAATACACTTCCAAAAGGCTGCAGCTAAGTTATGATACTTGAATTAGGCAGGTGATTAGACAAAGTTGGCCAGAAATCTAAATCTAAAAATAAATAAATATATATCTCAAATTACAACTTTTACCATTCTGATGTACACATTTTTTTTGCGTGTTTATTATATCCAGGTATTCATATGTGGCCCTTATCCTCACTGGATGTTTATGACAAGTAAAGGATCTCTTAGGATTCATCCCATGGGGATTGACGGATGGGTCACCTGCTTCGCCCCATTCCACAATGTTAACTGTCCCAAAGGATTTTTATACTTCAACAGAAAGGTCTTTTATAGCTGCATTATAAACATTTAGAGCATACTATTGCTTAAGTTATTCACGCCAATAATTTAGCACAATTAATGCACACTATTACTATGTGATCAGCATTATTTTTATCCAGTAGCCATTTGCACATGTGATTGCTGCCATGTTGTTGTAGTCTGGTGTGTTCGCAGGTAGTTTAGGAGTAAGTCCTGAGTTCTGGGAAGTGGAAAAGGTGATGTGTTACTGTGATACATGGCAATTATTTAATCATGGAAAATACGCAATCAAAGAAACTATTACTACAGTGATGCATGGCCATACTTGAATAATGAAATGCATATATATGGCAATAATTTAAGAAATGAAATGTACACAATTAAACCATATTAATTTAGTATCATTTGGTGTTAGCTCACCTTAAAAAACACATTATTTTTTTTAAAGGAAGCATATGTCAAAATCAATGAAATGGAGATATTTTTTTTTAATTTGTCAGTCTGACCTGTGTATCTGTGTGCTCCCAACTCATGTAACATATGACGCTCCATGGCCCATTCGTAAAGTACCTCTCAGGTGTACACCCCATTACATCACTTATCACAGTGACAGCAAGGTAAGCATCCAGATAGCTGTGGCACTAAATTATTGTAGCTGATGATATTTTGTGTCATGTGTTACTAAGGACAACTCTCTCTTTCTTCCTGTTATGTTGGTAAAACTGCTATCAAACTATTTTATTAGCCTGATTTCTATGAACTATTACAAGATCATTTTCATGCTATATTTTGTATTCTACGTTTTTAATGGATTTCTGCATGGAAAACATTTCCCAACACTATCTTAAGTGTAACTTCAGTTATTAATATCAGTTGTGAAAGTGAGAATTTAATTTGATCCCTGAGTTTAAAGCCTTTTCTTCCATCCAATATGTTAATAAAGTATTTTGTTTCTAAAGAAAAATAATAATTATTTTTATTTTAATCCAGTGCTTTTAAATTTTAAGAAATAATTTAATTTGTCTCTGCTGCTTTTTCTAACAGCTTTATGCTGTTGTTACAAGTATAGAGGAAAGCACCAACAAGTTCCCCCGAGTTATGTCAGACGACAGGGAGTGGGACTATGTGGAAAGAAGTAAGTCAAGGGAAGATTCATTCAAGTACCAGATTCGAAGAGTGATTCCTGGGCCCATCTGTGTTCCTGGCCCATCTGGGTTCTGTCACATCTGTGGTCATCATATGTGTGTTCTGTCACATCAGCTTCTAATATATCAAAGCGAACCCAATGACTAAAACAAAATTTAGATTTAATCTAAGACACTAAGAGGGTTCTGTTGTAAAATCTTTCAATTAAAATAGGTAGACGATTTTATTTTTTGTGTTTAGATATTACTAGGCAATATACCCAAGCCCAAAGTTTTCATTAAAAAATTGTGTTTAAATTTTGGGATTCATATGACTGCAGCAAAAATATATAACATTGCTTTTCAAAAAATTCTCAGATGAGAGGTTTATATACCCAAATATGAGCAAATATACCGTCCAGCTTTTCACCCCAAGTACATGGGAGGTCATACCAGATACCAGGTATTTATTATTTGTATCAGATACCAGGTATTTATTTGAACCAGATACCAGGCATTCATTTTTTATACCAGATATCAGGTATATAAACTGGATACAGGTATTCATCATTTATACCAGAGTCCAGGTATACATTATTCTTGTAGATATAAATGTGTTTTTAATGAATGAAAACTTGTACTCTTGAGGAAACCAACAGGAATTTGAGGGATAAACATTGTTGAGAAATTATTAGTACTATAAACATAGTTGAGAAATTATTAGTACTATATAAACATTGTTGAGAAATTATTAGTACTATATAAACATTGTTGAGAAATTATTAGTACTATAACATAGTTGAGAAATTATTAGTACTATATAAACATTGTTAAGAAATTATTAGTACTATAAATATTGTTGAGAAATTATTAGCACTATAAACATTGTTGAGAAATTATTAGTACTATAAACATAGTTGAGAAATTATTAGTACTATATAAACATTGTTGAGAAATTATTAGTACTATATAAACATTGTTGAGAAATTATTAGTACTATAACATAGTTGAGAAATTATTAGTACTATATAAACATTGTTAAGAAATTATTAGTACTATAAATATTGTTGAGAAATTATTAGCACTATAAACATTGTTGAGAAATTATTAGTACTATAAACATTGTTGTGAAATTATTAGTACTGTAAACATTGTTGAGAAATTAGTAGTATCTTAATTTTTGTGCAAATAACTTTTCATTAGGTATGACTGTGAAGACTGGGAGCACATCACTTGTTTGGAAAATGCGCAGCTAAAATCAGAAGGAACTATTTCTGGTCTGAAAGGGTTCGTAACCATGGGAACAGCTTACTGCATGGGAGAAGACGTGGTAGCACGCGGACGTGTAAGTACTCAATGTAATCACAGTTAAGCATTTGGTTGCACGTGGACATATAAGTTCTCAGTGGAATCAAAGTTAAGCGTGTCACTTTTTTTTTTTTTTTGCTGAGGGTAAAGTCAAAAACATCATTATGATAGGGACTTGTGTAGTTCAGTCCACATCACTTGAGAGTTACTGCAAGTCATCTGGAATATAAAGGCCAATAGAATTCTAACAGTTTAAAGGGATCTGAGACAGCTACTTGTTACACATACTTTATTATTTCAATTTTCAGATCATCATACTCGATGTCATTGAGGTAGTTCCTGAACCAGGTCAGCCACTTACAAAGAATAAAATCAAGGTGCGTACAATATTCTACACAAGAAATTAGCAATCTTGAAGGGGTTTGAAATTTTGTTTTTACTTTTTTGTACCATGACTGATGCGTGGTAATAATCTGGATTGTAGATGTCATAAAAATAATAACTAGACATATGTTATAGCTTTAAATTGTCATGTCTCAGTGTAAAATTATCATGATAGTAATGTATGATTTTTTTAAAATTGTCATGTCTCAGTGTAAAACTGTCATGTAATGAGTGCAGTGAGGGTTTTAAATTGTCATGCCTTCTGTGTAAAATTGCCATGTAATTAGTGCAATGATTATTTTGACCAATGGTTTGGATGCACCCCTTGCTTGGGTTTGGTGGACTATTTTCAAGTAGGAAACTTACTCTCTCATGAGCATCGCAATGTGGTCAGCTGATGTGTTTATTTTGAACTGGGACTGGTTCACCAAACAACAAGCAGCTTTGTTGATCATGACCAAGACTTGATCATTTTATACTTCTCTCGATGGTAGTAGAGAAAGTTAACAGTAGTAAACTGAAACACAACTAATCGAGTACATTTATTGCACTTACTTATGGGACCCTGCAGCCAAATCAGGGTTGCCAGGCGTCCATAAATTTGAGGACAGTGCTTAAAAATTTGACCTTAAATGACTTGTCTGTAAAAATAATAAAATTTTAAATTGTGGAGTTGGCTACCCAGGAGTTTTATCCAGCCAAATGTTTAAAAACTTTTACTTGTACAGTCATCTGTTTTATCAATGATCATTTTCTGGTGAAAAAGTTTAAATATTTGAAAACTGACTTGAATCTCTCAAATAGGTGTTGTATGATAAAGAACAGAAAGGCCCTGTTTCAGCAATATCTTACTTGAATGGTTTATTGGTCACAGCCATAGGACAAAAGGTAAAAACTAGTAGCTACTAAAGACACTTTGAAATTTGAATGACTGGTGCAGGCAAATGACATGGGCTGTAAGGAATTAATTAAAACTATAGAAGGTGATTTAACATTGACAACCCCCACGATTAATTTCAAGCTATTGTGAGGCAATGTGATGTGTCATAGCTACTCCATTACCCCCCCCCCCTCATTGTGAGGCAATGAATAAAAAAAAAAATTAAATCAAACACACACCTTTAAGCAAAGTGGGATATGGGAGGGAGGGGGGGTGTGTGTGTGTGTGTGTGTGTGTGTGTCATCACTTGACCCTGGTAATGTGATGTGTCATAGCTACTCCATACCCCCCCCCCTATAAAAGTATAATTCTGCAGTCAGATAAAAATCCCGCCCTTCAATATATGGGTAAAATTACCCCCACCCCTTCCCACACTAAGGGTTGCATTGATTACGAAATTGGCTGCTTACCAATAATTGGCCGATACTGGTTAAACGGCCACCAATTAATTATTTTATATTTGGCTTTGAAATGCGTATTATTGAGGCCTAATTAATAATTGTTCATAGTTTATTACACTATTTTATAATGAATTATAATATAAAACAACATAATTAATCACAATTCCTAGAGTTAATATTTGGAATACAGCAGTGTTTCACAAAATTGGGCGAACACCCAACTTTAGGACAATTTTAAGAAAATGGGGTCAGTCATATTGACTCTGAGAGATGGAGATGTATTTCATTACAAAGACAGTAAAGTTGGGCAGGACCTCTTTCTTTTTAAATCCTCCAACTGAGGGGACATCAACCATTTTTAGGTTATTAGGTGGGGCATGGTTCAAAATAGTGGGAAAACATTGGGGAATGGGTCTATGGGTAAACCATAACAATAGCCTTAAAAGGTTGAAGAACTAGAAGTAGAGGCCGGTCACTCATACATTTGAACCTTGGGCCTAAACGCACACAATTAGACTCTGATAGCTGGTGCTAAAATGACCAACTAGCTCTCTGCAAAGTTATTTTGAATCTCAAAGTGATGTAGCTGGTAGTATGTCACTGGAAATGATCACTTGCACGTATGCCATCGCACATGTCACAATAATAATAATATTATTATTATCTTTGAATTAATTTGCTTAAGTTTATGTAAAGATAAATTTATTTGAAAATGCTGAGTCATTGTGTCAACACTGACAGGTCACAAAAACAAAAATACAATTATGGGGGGGGGGAGGCTAAGAAATGTAAGAAAGCACACCTAGTCTCCCAGCTACGCTCCTAGATAAAATTCAAAGAGCACAGAATAATGCGGGTCGCATTGTTTTTCGCAAACGCAAATTCAACCCGGCTAAAACACTTCTGAGGCAGCTGCACTGGCTGCCGGTTTGCGCTCGCATAGAGTACAAAATTGCAACTTTGTGCTATCGCTGCTTGCATGACCTGGTGCCATCTTATCTCAAAGCACTCATGACGCCTTATGTATCCACTAGAGAGCTCCGCTCATCCGATAGTGGCAAAGTATCGATACCGTGTGTTCGCCTTGAGACTTACGGAAAGCGCACTTTTGCATTTGCCGGCCCAACAATTTGGAATGCCCTTCCAGTTCTCTCAGAAACAGCCAGACACTAGTGTGGTTTAAAACCGATTTAAAAACACATCTATTTCGCAAACACCTTCTGGGGTGATGCTATCTACATCTTTTTCCGTTAATGTATATTGGCTTGTGTTGCTTATGGTTGAAATGGGATAAAAGACCTTGACTTGGTATGCTCGTATGTAGTTTTATATTCTTGCGTCTGTTTTTAAATGTGGTTGTTTGAGATTGTTTTTATTTCTCTTTTTTATATGGTTGACTTTGTACCGCGCTTCGAGCTTTTGGGGATGAAGCATGTTTTTCAAATAAACTTTATTATTATTAAATGTATGAAAGCTTGCCTAGTCTTGTACATACATAAGCTTGTAACCATTTGATGTGTCGGTGAATTGTTTGTGCTGAGTTCAAAAGTGGTCTAACTTTTGGCCGTCACTCAATTTCCCCAGATTTACATATGGTCTTTAAAAGACGACGATCTGTCTGGTGTGGCTTTCATTGATTCCCTCATCTACATTCACTCCCTACACGTCATCAAAAACATAATCATTGCAGCAGATGTGCTCAAGAGCATTGCTCTTTATCGGTTTCAAGAGGATCTACGAGTCTTGTCCTTTGTTAGCAGGGTGAGTAAAACTGCTCATTTTGCTACTATCTAAGAATCAGGTCTGTATGCAGAAAGTTTTGAATGAGGTATCTGAAATTATTATACCCGGTAACACCAATTCAAATTGATGTTTTCAATTGTAATTTGGCAGGATTTTAAATGCAAGTTGTTTTTTTTTTAAAGAGCACAAGTCTTGTTAGTTTACATCTATAGAAAATTAACTTATTACAACTGACATAGTTGAATATGTACACACAGGATATCAAGCCATTAGAGACTTACGCTGCTGAATTTATGGTAGATGGGGACACACTCAATTTTGCTGGTAAGATGAATTTTTTTTAGCCTGCTCATTTGAGCACATATAGCCTAGTAAATTTTTAAATAAGGTACTTATACTCTGAGGTGGCACTGCTCCTGCTTATAGCTTATGTCCGAAAAATGGCACATTTAAAATTTTGATGGCATAAAAAAAAATGTGTTGCTCATTTTCATTCATAAATATATTCAGTAAAAGATTTTTCCCTTCCAGTTGTTTTCATTTGAAATTTCTTTTAGTACTTAAACTAGTTCAAATCTACTGCTCCCACATGCATGGCCGAAGCAAACGAAAAAGCTGCGCCCAGGGAAATTTTAGGTGCCCTCTTCCCGAAAAAGTATACACATATTGTGCATAAGAAATTACAATTTTGGGGCTCTCTGAAGATGGGCTCTTCATACCACCACCCCCACCCCCCCCCCAACCCCCCACCCTTTTTTTTTTAAGCACAGCCCTGCCTACAAAAGATGGGCTCTTCATACCACCACCCCCTCCCCCCCCCCAACCCCCCACCCTTTTTTTTTTAAGCACAGCCCTGCCTACATATACGAAAATGTGATATGCAATTTTGTACAATCTGTAAAGATTGACACATCCAGTTAACACACAGTATTTGTGACTTTGGCTTTATGAGAGCCTTCTTTTCACTTGAAATAAACTATCAGGCTGAGTGAATCATTTCACATACTTGCCTGATTAGCTCAAAATTTAAGCACTTTCTGCCCTTGCACACTGTAAATTTTTTTACTTGGTCAGAAGGCCAGAGATAGTGTTGATTGGGTAGCTCTGCATATTCACAGGCATCTGTTTTAGTTATGTTGAGTGGGTAGCTCTGCGTATTCGCAGGCCTCTATGTTAGTGATTTGAATCAATTAATTTATTATGATATGTTATTTATAAAACTATTGTTAATACACCTATTAGTGACTCATAAGCTGTATATATGGAAGCTTGTGAACAGGATTGTAGCCACCTCATATAGGTCAAATACTGACTATATTGGCCCGAGGAGTTGATGTAGGCTGCTGCAAAATGAGAGCTGGGCATTAGTTGATATTTTATAATATTTTGTACTGATATTAAGCTGTTAGTGTTAGTATAAATGCAATTTTTAACTTTATCTCCTCACAGTTACAGACAGAAATAGAAATATAGTCATTTTGGCTTACTTACCAGAAGGTAAATGTCTGTGTTGAAATGTTGGACTATTGAACTAAATCAAAAGATTACGGTACATAAAACAAGATATAAAGTAATGTGACAACAGCTTCATAAAATCTATTTTGGTTTCTTTTTAGTAGGGGTGTTCATTTCTTAATACCGGTATTTCACTTGTCATTCTGTGTGACTCATAGTGATGATAGTTATCTAAATTGTTAAATCAATTCTTACTGCCACTTCTTCACAATGAAATATCAAGTCCAGTTTTACACAATATGCTATTTATTTACTTTAAACACAATAAATAATCCTTGAAACAATAACAATAATATCAGTAAAATAAGTGGATATGCAGGTCCAAGATATATATGATCACTCCTTATTCATTCACTATATTAATATGGGTCCTCTTTCTTCAAAATGTCTTATCAACTCTTACTTCAATATCATGAAATTTACTCTAGCCAATAAAATAAGTCCCTAACTTCATACTTCACTCAAATATTTCTCTGCTCAGTCTTGTGTGCAAAAATCATGAGTGTTGTGTACAAAAGCATGTGTTACAATATGCATGGATTATTTACTTTACTTTGTTAATGTTAAATGACATGTAAGCTGTTAGTTTTTAAAACCACTTGTCCATTAATTGACGAGAATCACAATCATTTATCAAAAGGTAATAAAGAACATAAGTGTAATATTTTCAACCTTTACTTTCACCAACAAGCGCTTTAAATTTACCTCCCAAAAACTGTACATACTTCAAATTTGTATAAAGGTTTTCTTCTCTGATGATTTGAATTTATGTTAAACCTCATTTCCATTCAGTCCGTGAAAGTCATGGAGGCAATAGACTGTTGAGGAGGGCTGACTTTAACATCGGTAGCCATGTGAATACAATGTTTAGGGCCAGGTGCAAGATGGAGGATCCATCGACCAGCAAGAAGAATGTCGCTGCTTCAGAGAACAAACATGTTACCTACTTTGGTAATTTCTTCTTTTATTTTCCCCCTTTAGAGATTTGTTAATTGCCAGTCTCCTTCATTATTTCGAATGAGGTTTTTGTGATGCAAAAGTATTAGCATTTTATCATTAAAGACACACAAAATAACACAATTGTTTTCTAACTTTGGTATATGCACTAGCAATTTTGGTCCAAATTGTAATTACATTGACAGTTCAGTATTTTGTATCTTCACTTAGCAACTCTTGATGGAAGTATTGGTTATTTGCTCCCTATTCAAGAAAAAGTGTTCAGACGTCAGCAAATGTTGCAAGGATCAATGATCTCTCAACTGCCCAGTCCCGCTGGTCTTAATCCCAAAGCTTACAGGTAATCAACAATTTTATTTGCCTGAAAACAATTATTTTTGTATTTAGCCCATTTTATTGTGGATAAAAGGAAAAAGCTTTGAGTGCAGAGTAGACTGCTGCAGAAAATAACACAAATCTCTCAATCGATTTTGCTATTTATTTGGATTTCATTCATATTTATTTGCTTTGTGTTGCATTACATACATTGTCAAAAAATTATAACACTAAAAAATCTTGGATTCCTCTTGCTTATCAGTATAATAACAAAGTATTTGGCTGTAAGATTTCTTGATCTCAAGAAGTTTTGCCCCTTGTAAGACTCGATAAGAACTTGTGCACCTTTTAAGACACGCTGAGAGTAGTGCACCTTACTGTACTTACAACAGTTGCTTAGTCTCACACCTTGCAAGACGTATATTTTAACAGTGAATAAGATATTTAAGAAAAACTTCACCCTGAGCAATCTAATCTTTATTCTAGAGCATTTAAGAGCAGTCGAGTGGACACCAACAACCCAATGCGTAATATATTAGATGGAGAGCTGTGTTGGAAGTTTTTATATCTCTCTGCCATGGAGAAAACCGAAGTGGCAAGAAAAATAGGTACCACAGTTGATCAGGTGAGAAAGCTTTGATACTTTCATTTAGTTAGTTTTGACTATGCCTACCATTTGATACTTTTATTTAGTCAGTTTTTTAATAGGCCTACCATTTGATACTTTTATTTAGTCACTTTTGATTAGGCCACCCAACTGACACTTTCATTATGTAAGATTTGACTAGATCTACCATTTGACACTTTCATTTAGTAACAGATTTGACTAGGCCTACCATTTGACACTTTCATTTAGTCACAGATTTGACTAGGCCTACCATTTGATACTTTCATTTGGTCACATTTTTTTACTATGCCTACCATTGCCACATGTTTACTCCACTATTTACCGGACTTACTAATAAGAACTTCGTTTGTGTTTTATATCAAATATGCATTCACCTGTCTTTTCCTCCTCTCAGTGAAAACAAAATGCTCGAATGGATTGCTTTTTTTAAATTTGTGTTTCTCTCATTATCTTGTGTCAAAAATGATATATCTTAATTTTTTTCTTTGCAGCTCATTGATGATTTGATGGATGATGTATCTTAATTTTGTTCTTTGCAGCTCATTGATGACCTGATGGAGTTTGATCGTTTAACAGCGCACTTTTAGGTGAAACTGTCAGGAATAACTTGTGTACTTCAATTCACACATGATTCTTACAGATGGTGTGGAAAGCCGTTGATTGTTAAAGTGGCACAGATAGGATTCTTTTTCTTTAAATAGTATATATTTTTTTTTAAAGTGACTCTTCAATGCACATGGCTTTACAGACCAACTTATATGTCACTTGGAAGTGTTTAATGCAACTATTTTGTTCTGGAGTGTAACTGTCACTGATATCAATAAAAGAATTTTTGTAACAATAAACTTATATGCTTTAAGTATATTTGGTTTCATCTGTCTCAAGTCCTGCCACTTGAGATTTATTTCATCTCATTAGACATTCAATAAAGGAATGAAGCACCTTTTGGTTTTTGCCACATGAATTTAAGAAATGAATATTTGTGTATGTAAATAATGTTACTGTTAATTTTTATAAGATTCATATGTTTTTTATTGTCTCATCTGGATTTTGCATCATATCATTATTTTCAATAGCATAAAAATGAATCTGCCCAAAGTTATAGCCTATTACTACAGTTACTTTTATGGACATCTTAACTTACTGCTACTGAATTTTTAATCCAGTTGTATTGTTTTGCCCCAAAATTTTACTTTTCATCAGTTCCATGTTGAAAACATTATATACGGTATATGTAAAAGTGAGTTGAAGAATAATATGGAAGTTATCCATGTCAACTTCATTTATAAATACATTTTTGTTCAATGAAATATGACATTTGCTGTCATTTTTTATAAGGAATATTAGCATTTATTCACTAATTTTAGGATATAGATTTGTTTACTGGTATTTATTTTCATTTCTTTATTTGTAAGTGAAGGTGCTTTTTCATTATTTTTCTTTAGCTTATTTGACAAGAAAGATTTTATATAACTGTCAAATTACTTGCAAACATCATGTAATAAAGGCTGAAGTTATATTTTTAGGGGTCTCATAGGAATAGATCAATATCAGTGGGTGTTAGTTGTTTGTAAAATCAATTCATCAAATAATTCTAATCTTTTATTTTGTCTTTACATTACAATTTTATTTCATCCACATATTTTTTAGTATTCTAGAAAAACAACTGGCATTAATCAAAACTAGGGCTTAACGGGGTGCAGTTGTTGTTTTTTTTACACTGGTTCCGGGAATTCTAGAAAATTCCAGAACCCAGTGTAAAAAAACTGTGAGCAAGTGTGAACAAAAAGAAAAAAAGTTAACTTCTCATTTTCCATAATAAATAGGCCTAGAGACAGTCGTTCACCCTGCCGGCCCTTAAACAATAGACCTACATACAGTCCTAACACCATACCTACCGACCCTTAAACAATAGACCTATAAACAGTCCTACACCATACCCGCGGCTCTTTACTGATTATTTATAATAGTCGTCTCCCCCTAAAGAAAAAATTATTATTTACAGAGTTCAGACGTCACCCATAAAAGCTCGGTGCGTGACAGCCTTTTTTCCCTATTAATATAAGGGGGGGGGGGTCGTGAAGAGGAAGCAGGAGGAATCAGAAGCAAAATATATATAAGAGATATAAAGTAAATGAACTTAAATAAGTATTTTAAAAACTCCCCCTAAAGAAAAAATTATTATTTACAGAGTTCAGACGTCACCCATAAAAGCTCGGTGCGTGACAGCCTTTTTTCCCTATTAATATAAGGGGGGGGGTCGTGAAGAGGAAGCAGGAGGAATCAGAAGCAAAATATATATAAGAGATATCAAGTTAATGAACTGAGATAAGTGTTTTAAAAATTTTACTCCCTCCATGTCATTAAAAACATAAATGAGGTGGACAAATCTAAATTAACAAAGAAATAGTATTTGCCTCACTTCTTTAAAATACCATGTCAATCAGTTAAGAATCATAATAATTGAGGCTAGGACATGTAGTATTCCTATTTCCTAATCCAGACTTGGAGATGCCTTGTGCAAAATTATGTAAGCACCACATTAGATCAAAACTAGGTGATAGGTTGGAATCCAACAATGCTTGACTTGATATGGAACATTTTGAGGATGCCATAATCAAACTAACTGAAATTGAAACAGAAAAAGCCTCAGGTTTCTCCAAATCTTGAATACTGTCTTACAAAATTAGTTGTTCAGAATGGCAACGACATGCCATATGGCAGTGTGGCGAACAGTGCATCGTCTAGAGGTCGATCCACTGCGTTATAGCCACAGAACAAATTGTAAGTGTCTAAAACACCTTTCTTTCTAGCCCCTACAGAGCTGATGTGCTGAATGATCTTCGAGCTCCTACAAAGCTGATGTGTTGAATGACCGTCTAGCCCCTAATAGAGCTGATGTGTTGAATGACCTTCTAGCCCCTACAGAGCTGATGTGTTGAATGACCTTCTACCCCTATAGAGCTGATGTGTTAAATGACCTTCTAGCCCCTGCAGAGCTGATGTGTTGAGTGACCTTCTAGCCCCTACAGAGCTGAATTGTTGAATGACCTTCTAGCCCCTATAGAGCTGATGTGTTAAATGACCTTCTAGCCCCTGCAGAGCTGATGTGTTGAGTGACCTTCTAGCCCCTACAGAGCTGAATTGTTGAATGACCTTCCACCCCCTACTGAGCCAATGTGTTGAATGACCTTCTAGCCCCTCCTGAGCCAATGTGTTGAATGACCCTCTAGCCCCTACAGAGCTGATGTGTTGAATGACATTCTAGCCCCTACAGAGCTGATGTGTTGAGTGACCTAGCCGCTACTGAGCTGATGTGTTGAATGACCCTTTAGCCACTACAGAGCAGATGTGTTGAACAGAGCTGATGTGTTGAATGACATTCTAGCCCCTACAGAGCTGATGTGTTGAGTGACCTAGCCCCTACTGAGCTGATGTGTTGAATGACCCTTTAGCCCCTACAGAGCTGATGTGTTGAATGACCTTCTAGCCCCTACTGAGCTGATGTGTTGAATGACCCTCTAGCCCCTACAGAGCTGATGTGTTGAATGACCCTCTAGCCCCTACAGAGTTGATGTGTTGAGTGACCTTCTAGCCCCTACTGAGCCAATGTGTTGAATGACCTTCTAGCCCCTACTGAGCTGATGTGTTTAATATTTCAAGTAACAAAAACAAATGATGAAAAGATTCAGGTTTCTTATTATTTATTGGCTTCTATATGCATAACAGTGAAAAATGCATAAGAAATAATGTCTGGTGTTCAGAATAAAATAGACGTGTCAAGAAATCCTACACATACTATAACAAAATATAGTTACCATCTCCTACTCCTAGCGAAAATGTACCAAATCCTCTTTCATCCATAGCAACCAATACGTTCACACAATTTTTTCCCCAAATGTATTTTTTTTCACACATTGTCACCATCATACGTGAGTGAAAAAATTAGTGGAATTTAAGGAAAAAAAGGAAAGGAAAAACCCACCATCGCTCACTCAACATCATCAAAACATTCACAGAACAAAATCGTGACAGGCAGGCAGTTCCAAAGCTGCATTCAGTAAGTCACACAACAGAACATAAATGAATAACTAAACACTTTTTAAAACAGGTTTACTTGTTTTTATCATTTATTTTTTTTGGACTATGTTTGCTTGGAGTCATTCCTCACAGAATCAGATCTCTGTTCAATTGTATATAACTTTTTCTTTTGCTTACTCAGTTTCAACATTTGTTTCTTCAATTGGCTTTTTGAGTCATATTCTGTTTGAAAATGATAGTCTGGAATTTTAAGACTCAAAGAAGCCTTATGGAACTTTCTTACAGAAAGTGAATATTTCTCAATAGTGTATTGGGAAAACTGGGCAGAGAAATGGCCATCTTGCTTCACTATAGCCAGTGCCATTTCTTCATTCAGATTGCCAAAATCCTTGAACGGGACTCCAACATCTGAGATAGCCACATGGTTAACCTGTAGATATAGTGTTTTTTTAAATAAAGACATGTTAAAAAACATTTTTTTAAATTATAAAGATATTGTTTTAGGTTATAAACATCACAATCAATTTTTTTTTGTTCAAAATATTCTAAGTAATATTATTTAATTTTGAACATTTCTTTTAACATAGCTAAGTTATTACCAGATACGTAAGGGGCATCAAAAAGTTATCATCTATTTGGGGCCATCTCTGCAGAAGAACACCTTTTTCCTGAAGAGTAAAATCAAAAATGAATGAATTAAACAAACTATGACAGAGATTAGACAGGACCTAGCCTGGATCCGTCTGGATATTATTTAACTTCTTGCACAACACAAAATCTGGAACTCAAAGTTTTATCCTTTTATTTTTTTAATGATCTAATAATTAAATACCTCATCTCTGAATAGCCAACAACTTTGTAATTTATAAACCAAATTTTTACTTCAAGATAATATTATAAACATTTTGGTTATGCTTCTGACCAACGCATTCATTTCACTAGTTGATTAACATCAGGCCCACATAGTTGAGTGAAGTGGTATGTTAATCAAATAATTCCCTAGTTATGATTGTGCACAAGGTGCTCATTGAACTGGTCAACACAACGAATCATTTCCAAATGAGGAATGCAAGTGGGGAAAGCAGCTTTTCTTATAAGCAATCAGAAGCTTTTCAAGTCCTTAGTTACTAGGGTTTAATGTTGGGAAGGATAGGGGGCGCTGGTTTTTCTTAACACAACTGGTTCTCATAATAATATTATATCACTTACTCTCGTAGCCATGAAACCTCACACTGCATGGAATATAACTTACCCATGGGTGTGTCTTATATTTTGCCACATCAGCAAGACCTGCCCATAACTCTGAAGCAAAGTGAGGTGCCATAACGGCTAAGATAATAATCAAATCTGCGACGGCTTGTTCATATTCTTTACTTTTATGTGCAACAGGAAGAGGAACTTTCTGCAAATCGTCATCAACATTTTAGAACAGAATTATTGAATGAATGCAATGTTAGAAATCAGGCTTCAAAATTAATTTCATCACTTCATAGGCATTAACAAATTTAATGTTCTGTCAAAAATTAGTTGTTTAAAATAATTTCATCACATCATAGGTTATCAAATTTAATGTTCTGTTAAAAAAAAAAAAATTAGTTTTCAAAAATAATTTAATGACTGTTCTTTGTGATCCAAATTTAATCTGGTGAACACACAGCCAGATCACATAATGTTAGCCTTGTGGTGGAAGATTGAATTAATGTGAAATTATCTGCATAGAAAGGATTTGTCTGTCATGTGGGCAGATTTTATGTTAGGCTTCAAATTTAAAAAAAAACAAAACAAAAAAGAAACTCAAAATACCAAAGTTGGAAGACAGGTGCAACTAAAAATTGGCTTTCTATGTTACCCTGTATCCTAAAATAAACTGATCAAAACAAAAGATGAAGAAAAGAAAAAGCCACTGGTATATAATTTTTTTGAGGTAAGTTAGCTAAGTTATTGTATCTCATTACAGATTTAAATGCAAAATGTCCTGACACTTGATTTTGAAAAACAAATGTATTTCACTTTGTGAAAGTATCAAGTAGAATAAGTCATTCTTCCACATACCAAAAGCCATGACACATAAGAGTGAAGTCTTGAGATAGCACTGTTGATGTAGAATGTAGTTTCAAAATGGAAGTTAACCTGTATTGAAATTAAGTCCAAAATTTTCAAGATATTTCAATGTAGAAAAAAAAAAAGTTCATATATTAATTTTGAGGGTTCAAACTTTTTCATGTAATAAAGCATATACATTTTTTTTAAAAATATGACATGTTCCTGAAATTGGGCAGGGTAAATGATACTACAATTATGATAGCTGCAGCAACTGTGAATGCAATCAGATTTATCTTGTAGAAGTGGGTAGTAAGTATTCA